GTGGTTGTAGTGTTGTGTGGTAAGACGTTAGACATGTTTGATGTACGTTAGTTTGTCTGGTGGTTCTATTGTTGTGTGGTAAGATGTTAGACATGTTTGATGTACGTTAGTATGTCTGGTGGTTGTAGTGTTGTGTGGTAAGATGTTAGACATGTTTGATGTTCGTTAGTATGTCTGGTGGTTGTAGTGGTGTGTGGTAAGACGTTAGACATGTTTGATGTACGTTAGTTTGTCTGGTGGTTCTATTGTTGTGTGGTATGTCTGGTGGTTGTAGTGTGTGTGGTAAGATGTTAGACATGTTTGATGTTCGTTAGTATGTCTGGTGGTTCTGTTGTTGTGTGGTAAGATGTTAGAAATGTTTGATGTACGTTAGTATGTCTGGTGGTTGTAGTGTTGTGTGGTAAGATGTTAGACATGTTTGATATGCGTTAGTATGTCTGGTGGTTGTAGTGGTGTGTGGTAAGATGTTAGACATGTTTGATGTACGTTAGTATGTCTGGTGGTTGTAGTGTCGTGTGGTAAGATGTTAGACATGTCTGATGTTCGTTAGTATGTCTGGTGGTTGTAGTGTCGTGTGGTAAGATGTTAGACATGTTTGATGTACGTTAGTATGTCTGGTGGTTGTAGTGTCGTGTGGTAAGATGTTAGACATGTTTGATGTTCGTTAGTATGTCTGGTGGTTGTAGTGGTGTGTGGTAAGATGTTAGACATGTTTGATGTACGTTAGTATGTCTGGTGGTTGTAGTGTTGTGTGGTAAGATGTTAGACATGTTTGATGTTCGTTAGTCTGTCTGGTGGTTCTATTGTTGTCAACCTTCTTTTCTTCACGTGACAGATTTACATGGCGATAGCCGTTACAGAAGCAAAGTCTTACCGTTCAAGAGTGCATGAATTTAATCTCATTGTACTTTTCCGGAGATCAACAGCGCTGCAAACGGAAAACCAGGAGAAAAAAGTATAGATATGTGATCGAGCACTCTTAAACCAGTGTTGATATATATGTTCAAACACTAAGTTGGAAGATGTGAAAGAGTAGATGAAATATTGATAAATATCGTCATGATATTGTTGAAATCAAGATAGTTTACTGTTCTGTGGCCACGTAAACCTTTCAGTGATGTCACGACTAGTATATGATAATTAGATGAGTAGGAACTCTTCAGTACAAGGAACCACACAGAGATACTTGTGTCCACATTTCAACAAGAACGGTCTAGTTTATTTTCACCTATTTTTAAGAATCGTGGAAAATCGTTCTTGTATTTGAAAATGTCTATTTTTTTATCCCTCCAAATTAACCGAGTCACCACTAAGTTGTGTTTGTATGTTTTCTACGTTTGCAACATTTGTTATGTTCTGACAACCTTGAATTGACCTTGAACAGTGGCCAACAGTACATGTTTCAGCTAAAATATCAATGTCACATTGAAACATAAAATATCTGAATGATAATCTCTGTATACAATTAATATCTAGTAACAGTAAGACACATTAAAACGCATTCATATCGCTGAGAGAAAGAAGCCACAAAACTTTACTTCGTTTTATTGTCGGTGTTAACTATTTGTATGGACAACACTATATAATTCATTTAAATTAATATCTACATCATTGTTTCATGATGTATATATTGGACGAATCACCACCAAGTTATTTTGTGTAGAAACTATTACAGTGTAAAGCAATGGACCAAGTCACTATATTTTGAAATGGGTTTAATTATCATGTGCTCTCTCTACTTCCCTTTCCATTCTTCATCCATAATTTATTTGTTCTTTTCGTGCCTTCACACATGCTGTGTCAAGTCAAGCTTTTGTAATCAAACAGACAATCCTAATACCTGACGTGGCGTCAAAACTAGTCCTACGTTCTCATTTGTCTCTTTAGATACAGATCTTAGCTGTGTTGTGTGACAGGTTTAAACATTAAATTGTCCATTATCGTATGAGGTGGGCGGTGATATAACTTGTAGGATATGGAGATAGTAATGTAATAGATTATGTTGTTTGTTTTGTATAATATTGTACACATTGTGCGTTTGGTACACATTTGTTTCTGTTATTTCATTTATCTCTTTGGTATTGAGACTCTCAAATCGTGCAAATGTCAAAGTGCAATGTCGTCCTCAGCAGTTGTTTTAGGGGAATGCATTTGTTTCTTAAAAACTCTCATGGCTGTCTCGACAAATCAAGTTGCTTTTAGACGTTTCCTGTTGTTCTGCACCGAGTGTTCGTAAGCTTCCTCTTTTCTTATTTCCTTTTTTTCGTTTTTTTTTTTTTTTTTTTTAAACATTTCTAAACCAAAGGACCTAATTTGTAAATAAGAAGATTCAGTTGCCCAAAATGAAAATAAAGCGTGAAGTTCATAATATGTTCTATATTTATCTACATGGTCCCAGTTCTTTACTGGTGTCAATGTATTATGAAATTGATTAAACTCGTTCAATAAATTGATATGCCAAGAGCCATCAAAATATTGAACTCGTTTAATAAATTCCATAATACATTGACACTCATGTAAGATCCTCTATATCTGGTTCATTAGGATGAAACCAAAATAATCTCAACAAAGACTTGTTGACATCTCCCGTTATAGATTGTCAAATACGTAAATTTGACTAAACTATCTGTGTGGATTTTTTTTTTTTTTTTTTAATAAATTAGAAGATTGGGTATTTACTGTTGTACAAACGAAGAATAATATATTTTTATAGAATGTCCTTATACTATGAAATTAGATCCAAAACCTTGAAAAGAAAAGTAGACCGAATCTTCAGAAAACAAGTTTATTATTTAAACTCTAGGACCGTTTATTCACAAGGCAAATGAAATTAGACATATAGGATTTTGTTTCTTACGTCCTTCGGTTATCCGATAACAGCTGTTTTTGTATCCAGACTGATCTATTTTGAATGTATAAATTTCCTGTGAAGATGTGTAATTATCTTGCCGTAAATTTCATGTGAACGATGTTACCGTTTGAGATAAGGAATTGTTACTTGTAATAACAGTCATGCCAATAAGGGTATGCGTATCTTTGTTAAATGCGTACAGAGCACAAAGGCTTCAATGCCCATTACAAATGAATAAATAAAGATTGTGAAGTTTAGGAAACAAATTTAGAAAAAAAAGTTTCGTCATATATATTGACCTCGACAGGAGAGCATTTTTCAAACCAAACTGTACATATAATTTGTATAGATTAAAAAAATCACATGCTGTAGTTTTCAATTTTTAGATGGTTGTCCGATGATCACCCGAACGCGATCGATTGTTTATATATACACCGGTCCAGCCCGACCATGATTGATTGTTTATACATAAACCGCAACGGTCAAACGCGACCGCGATTGATTGTTTATATATAAACCAATCCAGCCCGATTGCGATCGTTTGTTTATATATAAACCGGTCAAACCCGACCGCGATCATTTGTTTATATATAAACCGCAACGGTGCAACCCGACCGCGATCGATTATTTATATATAAACCGCAACGGTGCAAACCGCAACGGTGCAACCCGACCGTTATCGATTGTTTATATATAAACCGGTGAAGCTCGACCGCGATCGTTTGTTTATATGTAAACCGCAACCGTCCAGCTCGACCGCGATCTATTGTTGATATATGAACATGTCCTTACCTTGAACGCGACAATTTGTAAAGTGATAAAGTAGCTTAGACAATATGATTGGAAAGGTTTTCAAGGCGGGAATAAAAAAAGGGTAAAAAAAAAACAACAACAAAAAAAAGTGTTGATGATAATTCCATCTGCACCGAACTAACCACTAAACACTACCTATAGTCCGGCGGATAGGACTTTAAACGGTGGCCCGTGTGAGGTTGTTCACTCTCGCACGCTAAAGGTCTCCTTGTGGCTTTTCGTAAAAAGAATAGGCGTGATAACGCCGTTCCAGGGGTCTAGGGACAGTGTCAGACTACACAATTTTGTATAAGGCATTAGACGGACTTCACAATTACTCTAACATACCATATCTGCTAGAGTTGGGATAAGGCACTATCAGGCCCTGGAGCCGTCTTCTAACACTAGTATAATCAGACTATCACAGACGGTTCCATCCCACTGAGGGGCATGTAGGTCACCCTCTCACTTCGCCAGAACATTGACGTTCGTCGGTGAGACGATACCGGACACGGGAGGAGTCACCGAGACAGAAAACCTGTCCACCAACCACCCACGATTGTTTGTTTAGATTTAAACTGGTCCAGCCCGACCGCGATCGCCTGTTTACTGTTGACTTATGTATTCCGACTTCATTTACAACATGTTATAATACTGTAAATGTTTACTTGTCATTAAATTTTCACGAAGTTTGTAAAATACATTTTATTATTATTAACACATTTGTCTACACCCATGTCCCAGTTCATGAACTTCCTTAAGTGATTAAAGCATTATATACCAGAGACATATATATAGTTATATATGTCTATGTATGTAAATAATAGAAACTTCCTTTAGTTTAAGCTTTTCCTTAACTTCCGTAATAGTTTTTCTATGCGAGTTAAGGTTTCCTTAAGTTAAGGAAGATTCACGAAAGCATTGTATACGTGTAATGTACGTTTAGAGCACGTCTCTGAATATAAATTGTACGAAGACGTATTTCAAACAGAATAAATACATGTTGTGCCTTCAAATATTGTAAAAGGTGTGTTCTTTAATTTGGCCAAACACTCTTCTCTTCTCAAAATTTATATAATGCACATAAACCTTCTCCCCAATTACAATGAGGTGGGGTTTGGGATGTTCCAGTAGGGCTCAGCTGTGCCTATGAACACATCGCGTAACCGCCCTTGACCTCGTCGATTTTATTAGAAACATGTATCCTACCTCATTAGCCCACTCACTGAAGATAAAGAGTATTGCTCATCTTTGTACTTCCGTGTAGATTCGCACTAATGTAACGGTAAAACCCTTTGATCTTTGCAAGCAAACCCCATAAATGGCCTCAAGGAATGAAGTGTTATCACGTGACACTATGGTAGTCAAAATGGCGGCTGGCCTACCTCGGTCGGGGTTATTCGAGGTGTATATTCGACAGCAGTGGTGCAAGGTGTTTGTGACATTAAATGAAGACTCTTTGACGCTAGCATTGGACGAGAATCCAGAAAATCCATCTAATGTCACTAACGGCACAGATACAGCTCGCACAAACGGAAGTACATCGAATCAAGACAAATTGCCAGAGAGCATCACCGGTCAAAAACGTCTCGTCCGGGTAGTGAAAGAGGAACAGAATGGGTTGGGGATCAGTATCAAGGGTGGCAAGGAGAACAAAATGCCTATCCTCATCAGTAAAATATTTAAAGGTATGGCAGCCGACAAAACTGAGAAGCTCTACGTTGGGGATGCGATTATGTCTGTCAACGGAGAAGACCTAAGGGAGGCAACTCACGATGATGCTGTCAGAGCTCTCAAGAAGGCAAAAAAGGTCGTCGAGATAGAAGGTAAAAACGATTTTACTTTGGATTTATGACCTCATAGAATATTCTCAGATAAATGGTTTAGTGGGTAATAGAACGTGACGATTGTCAATTAACTCCAACAAACACTTCGCTGTATATATGTCTGATCGTTAAAACAATTTAAGTAAACTTGCATAAAATTTGAGACACCAACCCCTTGTCCTATGATATATCTGGTCACGGCCTTCAAAATTAAGCGTGGCAGGATGTTTTAAAGGGTCTTCATGTAAAATCACCTTATATACAGTTCTCTTGTCTAGTAATTACATCTTCATGTGTCAATGTGATATGAATGTTTGGACATTACCTTGTAATAGGAGTGGATCAAAGCAGTTTGTATACAGTGTTAAATGCAGTCTCTGTCACTCAGCTGGCTCAGTTGATAGAGCCAGTTGATTATCACCTCTGAAACCTGAGTTCAATTCCTGGCTGAGGTTTTGACAGGAATGTGTATTTTCCTTGTTCTGTTACATTTTGACTATATTAGATCGAAAACTTTAAACTGAAACTTTAAAAAATGCTTGTACAAATTCAAAAAAATATCAGGTGATTCCAGCATTTTGCATGATTTTAGCAGGTCATGACTGATATAATCAAGTGAGTTGCTGTTGGCGACAATGGGAAATGTATAGAGCTTGAAACGTGTAGTATTTGTATATTTTTCTCTTGTAGAGCAGGAAATTTTAAGTGAAATGTTGTTTTACGTTTTGTCAAAATTGTTACAATTGTCCATGTTACAACAATGTGTATTTACTCTAGTTATCTTTAAATTATGATGGTATTTACTTCTGTAAAGTAAAGTAAACACAATGAAAAATTTAATGTCATTTTGTACATTTTATTTCCTGCACAACATCTTTATCAAACAAGTCTTTTCTGTCAAAAATATTTCATGGCCAATGATTGGTAAACAGTTGATGTTCACAACATTAGAGTCAACAGACAATATATCATATGTTGGTCAAGAATGATCAATTGCATCAAGCACCTTACAGTCTGATAGAAATAAGATAACCTCATTGTCTACTCAGCTGTAATACATTTTTTTTATAAAATGGCTCATGCATAATTAGTACAAAAATCTAGATGTTCAAATCAAAGGTCTTTCAGTCATACAGTGAAAGAAAATAGTCACACCACTGAAGAAATGAATACTACTGTTGTGGCTGTAATGGATAAATAATTTTAAGTTGAAAAATGAACGTCCGATTTTAAACATATATTATAGATAATGTGTATAAATAATATAAACAGAAATAAAGTTGAAACTTAATGTAGAACACAAAGCCATGAATTCATCTGTATATGGTATTTCACAATGGTTCATTAACTTTGTAGGCCAGCTTGTATATCATAAGGTCTACAGTACTAGTGTCACCTTTAGCTGTCAAATAGAAATTCTAGCTGCATCTTAATTAAATGTAAACCTTAAGGAGTGTATGATTTCGCTTCACTTGTCGTTTAGATTCCATAACTGTCTACAACAATGATGGTCTGTATAACATAGGTGTACTGGCTTTCATTACCACAATCCACACCATGCGCTAGGTTTTTCTTCCATATAATTATTCTGGTCGATTGAAGTTGATGCTCCTGAGGGTTATATAGTAAACATTGAATTGTGATTGACAGGTCATGTTTAAATAGCATGTTTTATATCATATCAAGCTTCACTTGGAATTATATGTATTGATGCAGAATTTGCATAAATATAATCTGATCTTGTATTGATATGAAACCATGTTTTTTTTTCAATAACCAAAATGACCAGAATCCCATTTCAGTGTTTATCTGACTGGTAAACAGTTTAATTGAATCTTTACAAATTTATACACTTGTACATGGATGCAAAGTTTCACTATTTGTACATTATGTCATATTTGTTACCTGTACAATATGTGTGCAATATGTACAACAAAATTAAGATATTTCTTATTTATCTGCAGATCTTTTATCCAATATACACTCAGAGATTTTCCAAGCTATATTTTTGTGAATGGGACTTTGCAATAAAATTGTGAAAATTTGTTGATGATTTACTACAAATGAAGAAAATAGTATCACAGATATATCTCTTCAATTGGCAAGATATCAAAACTCAGAAAAAAGGGACAAATTTCCCTTGTCTGCAAAACCTTGGGCAATCAGACATTACATGTCAAGTGCACATTACAAACTTTTAACAGAAGGAAATCTTTTAAAGCCTGTTACATTTTCTCATACAAACTAGTACTGCTGATTTGGAAAATAAAGGCTGAATTTAGGAAAACACAGGTGAATCTTCGGCTGAGAATGTTATACTGCACACTAAAAATACCTGACAAAATCCCAGGCTTGTATATAGAATTACAACAGTAGTGCTTGGCTGCAAACCAACTGCATAGTTGGACTTTTATCTCTTTCTATCAAAATTGGAGTTATAGCATATATATATGTTACTCAGGTTTTAAAACAGGAAATACATACATTACATATACTGGGTTTGTACACGGATGAAGGTACGAGGATCTAACACTGTTGACATTACTATACTAGGCTTTAGGTGATATTTAGTGAGCTTGGTACTCTTATTTGGTATCTTGATCACTTGTAAAGATTTATTGTTTAAATTCATTTACATAAATTTACAATTTTCATATTTGATGTGGGAATCGATAGTATTTAGTTAATCAGAATACTTAATGCAGGGAATTGCAAATTCCAAAAATTATGTAAAGCGTTATATATACATGCTAATATCAATATTTTAACCTCATTCTAAACACATCTGTATAGGTGTATCTGAATAACATCAGACTCACCAGTTATAGGGTAATATGTTTCTGAATTTCATTGGAAGTTCTTTCTAGTTCTGTCTTTGAAAATTCAGCACTTGGTATTTATACATATTACAATGTTTAAACCATTAAGAGGATTAGCTACATTTCAAAACAGAGGAACCAAATGATAAATTGAACATAAAACAACAATATGTAAACAGATGGATTAAGATATAAATAGAGGTTACACAACCAGTGGTTGGGGTATATGTAAGAAATATGTACCTAATACCAGCACCAACAGTTTGTGTGCTTTGATTCTACTACAATAAAAAGGCTATTCTGAGGTTGAATGGACCTATGTGTATTTTGTTAACATCATCAGTTGGGGCATAATAATGTGAATTTTAGTGACACATCACTAATTAATATGTAGAACGGACAATTTCTGAAATACATGAAGGCATTGTATCTCATTACAAATTATAACAAGAATTAAATTGGTTTATTGTCTTCAAAGGAAAAAAAGAAAGAAATCTAAATAAGAATTGATTTATTACAAAAAATTCATGAAGTACTTATTGTGCAATTTAATTTCAGTGTTTGAAATGCCCTTTTGGTCAAAGTTCATCCTGTTAGCCAATCAAAACATGCTAAAATATCATACCACATGTGGTATAACATTTATATTGACACAGCAGTTGGAATGATTATTTGATGTCATGAGAGTTGAAAAACACTTGCCTATTGTAGTAGAATATATGTTATAATGAAGGATGATAAGTTTTTCTTTAAGTTATTTTTATGTACCTGAATGGTATATGTATTATTTAGTGACTATGTTCCTTTTTTCTTCTTCAGTGAAGTATATACCAAAGGTGAGCCCATACATTCGAAAGTCCTCTGCCCTCAATGAACTGGGTTGGGGAACTCAAGAGGCACAAAGGGATGCTGCAAAAGCAAACTGGACAGAATCTAAGGCGATCCCTCTCCGGTTGTGTTATCTCTGTCGTAATCTCAGTATGTCAGATCCAGAAAAACGCACACTGGAGTTACATTCTCCTGATGGAAAGAGTTCGTGTATTTTACGATTTCCAGACCCAGCTACCGCCAATGATTGGTTCAGTGCTATCCACTCCAATGTGAACTTGCTAATGTCCCAGTGTATTGTGGAAGCTAATCATGTGATGAGTTCAGCCCCTAACTCCCGTGAGGTGCGGCACATAGGCTGGCTATCAGAACAGGTGAGAACCTTTGTATACAGATTTTGTTTGCTTAATTGTTGAATTACAGGTATATTTCACAGTAGACCAAGCTAGAACTTGTTCCTTGGGATAAAAATTTGTGCATCTCGATTGAACCTCATCAAACATTTTGAGTTAAGAACATTTCTACGATTGTGTGAACAAGTGAAATTTTATATAGATTATGGGGATTTTCTTTTCACATTATCAGCATAATGTATTTGATAGGTAACTGTTTTCACACTCTCTTTGATATATTACATGATATAAATGATTAAAATGTATTGTACAACCAAATTCTTACATATCCATGTATATGCAGATATTTTACCATTATTTAAACTAATCTAAAATATATTTTAACTCCTGTTTACTTGACACACATGGCTGTCTGGTGGGAATTCCCTTTGGTCTCTTTACATGACACACATGGCTGTCTGGTGGGGAATCCCTTTGGTCTCTTTACATGACACACATGGCTGTCTGGTGGGAATTCCCTTTGGTCTCTTTACATGACACATATGGCTGTCTGGTGGGAATTCCCTTTGGTCTCTTTACATGACACACATGGCTGTCTGGTGGGGAATCCCTTTGATCTGTTTACATGACACACATGGCTTTCGGGTGGAGAATCCCTATGATCTGTTTACATGACACACATGTCTGTCTTTTGGGGAGTCCCTATGATCTGTTTACATGACACACATGTCTGTCTTTTGGGGAATCCCTATGATCTGTTTACATGACACATATGGCTGTCTGGTGGGGAATCCCTATGATCTGTTTACATGACACACATGGCTGTCTGATGGGGAATCCCTATGATCTGTTTACATGACACACATGGCTGTCTGATGGGAAATCCCTATGATCTATTTGCATATCACACATGGCTGTCTGATGGGGAATCCCTATGATCTATTTGCATATCACACATGGCTGTCTGATGGGGAATCCCTATGATCTATTTACATATCACACATGGCTGTCGGATGGGGAATCCCTATGATCTGTTTACATATCACACATTGCTGTCTGATGGGGAATCCCTATGATCTGTTTATATGACACACATGGCTGTCTGATGGGGAATCCCTATGATCTGTTTACATATCACACATGGCTGTCTGATGGGGAATCCCTATGATCTGTTTACATATCACACATGGCTGTCTGATGGAAAGTCTCTATAATCTGTTTTCATGACGCATATGGTTGTTCGGTTGGGAATCACTATGATGTTCTCTGTCTGTGTTGTCAAATGATATCAAGATAAAGCTAAAGAAGGATTGTCAGAATATTTAAGTACTGACACTTAGATAAAGAGTTTAGACATACTTTTTATATTTTCTATAAAATCCCCATGTACATGTAATATTCTAGTCTAGGTGTAAGTTTAGTGAGTATAATTATTGCCATTTGAAATGGCCCTTTAAAAGTTGAATATACTTTGGTTTGAATATAATCTGACTCGTACACTTCTAAAATATGTGACTAGAAAACTTAGATTTCTTTGAAGATTTCACTCATTATCACACAGAACATTGTTATCATAGGACAGATCACAAACAACATCGGATAGATCACAGAAAACATTGGATAGATTACAGAAAACATATTTTGGTTTTGCCCAGTTTCCTGCGTTGTCTGGGGTTGATTCATCAACATGACCTCATACTTGTATGATAACACAAGGAAATATCATGTTTTTACAGCTCCTAAATGAACAGGGAAACCCCACCTGGAAACCTGTGTTCATTGCCCTGACCGATAAAGATGCACTGCTGTATGACACTGCTCCCTGGAGTAAAGAAGAATGGGCCACACCCTTTCAGAGTCATCCCCTATTAGCAACTAGGTAAATCATTATTCAGTCGTCTGAAATTCACCAGACTAATGGATGTGTTTTGTCAGCAATTGGTGATTTATAAGGTCAGTAAAAATCGTGGCGCTACAAGTAGCACATCTAAATATTTGACCTTGTAATATTGACAGAATTTATACATGTGATGTCCAGTTCCCAGAATTCCCACTTTAACTTCCTGTGAAGACTGGGTAGAGTTACAGGTAAATTCCCGCTGAAAAGTGTCCCTGTCAGCTGAATGTTCTTCAGATGATGGCAGTATCCGTCCTTTACCATCTTCTTACGATATCTGGGATATTATTTCAGAATTTTGTTTTCTGTCTGTGACAAATTTTTAGTAAAATACTAGGATCAGATGGAATTTCTACAGATAAGCTGATGAAGCTGTTGGTCAATATTAAGTTAAGAGAGAGAGAAACAATAAGCGTTAGGGTCTGTCAGAAAACTTCATTAATGTTTAATTATTATTTTTGATTCAGACTGGTTCACTCCAACAACCATGCGACACCTCAAACGGGAAGTGAAGTAACAACTTTCGGAACAAGAACAGGAACAAGGAATGGTGTGGAAATTCATGTGTTTCGGGTGGAGACTCAACGAGACCTTGCCTACTGGTCAAGAGCTTTCGTTCAGGGGTCTCATGGGGCTGCTGCTCTCATCAAAGAAGTCACTTGTGGTGAGTATATCTGTAACAGCTATATAACCTTAATGACTTCAGAGAGTTGTAGTGGAAGAATGTAGAGGATTGTAGCCTGTAGGCAGGGGAAAAGGACAGGGGTGGTCGGGTGGCGCAGTGGTAACGCACTCGCCTTTCACCTAGTCGACCGGGGTTCGATTCCCGTTCTCGGAACGAAAGTGAAAAGGCAAGGGGTCACCTGCCCGACCACATGGGTTTTCCCCGGGTACTTCGGTTTCCTCCCACAATAAGACCCATCGCGTGCTTACATCCGGACCAACAAGAGTGATTAGTATGAGTTGACATAACTTGTTTCACAATTGTTGTAAAATAAATAAAGTTTTTATTTTTATATATAAAGGACAGATAAAAAAACAATGTCTAATCATATGAAAGGTGTAGAATGGCATCAAAAGGTTACAGGTACAGGAAGGATGTAGAGGGTTGTAGCCTGTAGGCGGGGGGAAAAGGACAGATAAAACAATGTCTGATTATATGAAAGGTGTAGACTGGCATCAAAGGTTACAGGTACAGGAAAAATAGACTTTTCTGCTGTCTTGTTGAAAATATTGAAGACAAATCAACAAACAACATGATTTTGTTCATACCGTGGGTAATATGTTGTTTTTTCATGTTGACAGCGGTAGGATGGCAGGGTCAGGAATGCAAACTGACTCTCCACTATGATCAGGGATTTGCACTTACCAGTGCCAAACCTCGAGACAGTTCAGAAAAAGTGAATGTGTTGTGGACCTACCCATATGACAAGCTGAGGATGTCTGCTGATGATGGACAGCGACTGATGTGGTTAGACTTTGGAGAGGAGGGGGAACAGGTCTGTATATGTGTGCTGATGTTATTGTCCAGTATTCAATATGATAATCCATACTTATGTGTCAAGACTCTGTAGAGGACAGTGACAGGTCTATATATGTGTGGTGGTGTTGTTGGTCAATATTCAATATGATAATCCATACTTATGTGTCTAGACTTTGTAGAGGACAGTGACAGGTCTATATATGTGTGGTGGTGTTATTGTCCAGTATTCAATATGATAATCCATACTTATGTGTCTAGACTTTGTAGAGGAGGAAAACAGGTCTGTATACATACGGTGATGTTATTGGCCAGATTGATTAAGATAGCTGTGTATGGTGTGTGTCTCATAAAGACAGTTGCATTAGCTTTCTTCCTGTTTAAGATTGCTGTGTATGGTGTGTGTCTCATTAAGAAAGCTGCTTAAGAGTTCTCCCTGATTACGTGGGGTATTGTCAATTACATATGTATTCTTATTCAGGAACAAATAATTTATTGAAGTTCGTTTTTAAGAAATAGAAGCTGAATTACTTACATATGTTTTTCTTTTGTAGGAACTTGACCTCAGAACTTGTCCTAAGCCGATGGTGTTCGTCCTCCACACTTTCTTGTCTTCCAAGGTCAATAGACTTGGCCTTGTGGCATGACCTTTGACCCCTAATCTGCAGTCATCAAGTGAACAGTGTTGCCATGGAAAAATGTTATTTTGGTAAATTCAATTTTATCACAGTGAAAACTATTTGCAGTTGACAAAGTTACTTTTACCAGAGTAACAAGGACATGTGATTTTGATGGAAATTACTGTGATGTCGCCATAACATCGAACACACATATGATGGATATAATTCCAGTCCACAAGCAGAAAAAGTGGGATCGCTCTTATCACTTTCTGTTTTTTCGGAAACACACAAGTGTTAGCATGGCAATACAAAAAGATCACAGACTACAAATCACAGAGTGCATTACATAATTTTACATATTGAATGAAAGGAACAGATTTTGTTAGCATGGAACTTGGGTACTGTTTGTACTTTACTCATGGATTATTAGTATAAGGAAGAAAATGTGAGTGACAGGAGAGAGGTTAAAATGTCTGATATTGTCCAGTAGGTGTTTTAGATGTATTGCTCTACGTTTGTGTTGTACAGGAGTGCTATGTCACCACAATGTGTTGATAGGGACAGGAGGTTGTTAATCCTGTGATATGTACATACCCCAGTAATTGTAAATGCCCCTGCTCTACTAATATCCCTTATTATTGTGTATGTATGTATATATTACAATGTATCACCTGTAGCCATGTTTTGGTTTAGAATCTCGTGGTAAACTTGGTAAATTCCTGACAAATCCTCAAAATGGTAGTTCTTGTTCCTGTTTACTCAAATGTTAAAAACGAAATTCTAGGCCAGTTAATAAGTTATATTCATCATGAAATATTTTTGTAGAAATCAGTGTTCTACAAAATACTCCTCAGGTTAGTACTATTATATTATGAAATGGAATTTCTTTAAAGCTAATCATCCATTATCAGCATTCTTAAACTGGTTGTTTATATCATAATCAAAATGTCAGTATATTCAGCTTCTGTTTGAACGGGTATTTCTAGTGCAAGAATTTCAATTTTTGAAGCAGTATTAAATGGTAAATAAATGTATGACAGTGACATAGGCCATGTCTTCAGATCTCGACCTCTTACTGAAGACTGTATGACAGTGACCTAGGCCATGCCTTCATATCTTGACCTTTTACTGAAGTCTTCATTCTATTTTCTCTACCTGGCATCAGAATTCTACTTTCTGTTGTCTCCAAATCTACTAGGCATCAGATTTTTCCCCCGTGTTTTCTCCAACTCTACCAGCGATCAGAATTTTACTTGCTGTTGTCTCTAGTTCTGCTAGGTATTAGAATTCTACATTATGTTGTCTCCAACTCTACCAGACATTAGATTTTTTTCCTGTTGTCTCCAACTCTACCAGCCATCAGAATTCTACTTTCTGTTGTCTTCAGATATTCCAGGCATTAAAATTCTGCTTTCTGTTGTCTTCAGATTTTTTTAGGTATTATAATACTATTTTGCCATCTTCAGCTCTACCAGGTTTTAGAATTCTACTTTGTTGTCTCCATCTCTACCAGATATAAGAATTCTGTTATCTGTTGTCTCTAGTTCTGCTAATGCCAGAAGCTTTAGTTATGTACAGATTCAAAATGCTTGGTTTCCTCCTAAAACTTATTGGAGATATTGTATAGGTAGACTTTATACATAATGTACAGACTTTGTATGTATATTCTATAGCTGTTTAACACTAGTGAAATATGTTTTATAGCAATACAGGAATCTGTTCAGGGATTTTATGTTTTATTTAAGATAGTTTGTGATATGTCATGCTTTCAGAGCACTCACTGCTCGCAGTCTTTTTCAATTGATTTAGAGTAGAATATTGTCAGTGGTTGGTCTTAGCTTTTCAGCATGTGATTTGTTTAATTATAAAACTTTGTATAGATAAGATGGTGTTTTTTCATTTTACACTTTGACCTTTAAAGGACAAAATTCTTGCTTTGTTATATCTAAACAAGAAATGAAAAGTTGATTTTAAAGCTATTATAAATCTGATGGATCAAGGATTTTAAGGATATTTGAAATGTAATGTAAACAAGTATTTTACATATTAAATTTTTTCTCGCCTAATGAATTTAAACAACCAATACAAGCGTCTGGGATATATATATTATAGGATTATCATAGGTCAGATGTTGGGGGTCTCACACAAGGTACTGACCACAGGTCAGATGTTTTTCTCTTGAAACTCTGGCTTTACTCCACGACCCAAACCTGGCATGTCATTAAATAACTCTTGCTGTTAATGGGATTCAAAGCAACAATAAATTGGCAAATAAACCTAAATGCCAAGTCCCAAATGGAAATAAGAAAGAGTAATTTAGATAAACATGTGTATTCTATTATATCTATTTATACTCAAGTTTAGGATTCTCTTTATCTTTAAAATATGATATGTATATGCTGTTATGATATCTGTTTCTATACACATTTGAACTGTCAGAGTTAGTTGAAAGTATATGTAATCATATACTAGATGTATTTATATGTAAAATAGCTATGAAATATTTGTACACATGGTACAATTTTGAGAAGTTCAAATTTTCACTGTTCTAGGAATTTCCATAGACGTCTGGAAAATGCTATGATTTTTTCTGTTGATTAAATTTGAAATGTCTCTAATTAAAGCAATTTCATTCTATTTTAGAATATTGTGGTGTGATCAAAATTGTTTTCTTTGTTGAGATAGAATGCACATTTTCCATTTATGCAAAGTAGACACAAGAAGATATTCTGATAGACTTGTCTGTCAATTATCTCCCTTTCATGACATTTTAATATCCTACAATTTATTGTTATTTGTCATTGATGTAAAAATGCCCTTTTATTATGTTGTACATTATATGGATGGTGTCAACTCTATATTCTTCCCTGTTGATTTATGTAAGAAGCAATGCTGTTTCATGTTGATCAAATATGCTGTGCCTTTTTTATGTACAAGTCACAAGAATGTGTTCATGTAATGCACTTTGTCTGCTGGTTATCTCCCTTTGAAGTTATCTGTGTTCACTATTATCTCCCTTTATAGAAATCTCATCGATATGGTCCTTGAGATTACTTGATTGTGGTAAAACTTTTAATCAGGAACAAATATAGTCGTTATCGCACAAGTGTTTCGAAAATGTTGAAATGGCTAAACCTGCTAGAGAAATGTCAGATACTGATCAGAACAGAGTTTAGTCTGCAGGATATTGGGCTTTTGTAGTGAGCAGTCCAGCTGTGTCTGTTTGAAACTCACTCATAAGTTTTCAGACTTTTTGCTTAAAAAGCAAAGTTGGTGCAGGCACATATTTCCACAAATTAAGTACAGGTTAAAATGGATGGTATCTTATTTTTGGTTAATTGTTTTATGTTCGACAGGAAATTTGAAAACTGCGCATTCTGAGTTTTCCATATATATCATTTCCAATATCCGGCAGAGATGTGTTCATATATCATGGAATACTTCCAGGCCATCTGAACAGTTTAACTGGGTTACATGAAAGCAGCCTAGGTCTCATAAATAACACAAAAGATGAATCGGTTAAATTGGTTGTCTAAACATATTGCACACTGGCTCCCTCCTCTTGATTTAAGTGAGATGTACGTTCCTTAGAGAAGCTGTTTATAAACATCACTTTAGATATCGTCCTGTTATGTTTCCTAGGGGAGAAAAGCTAGAACAATTTCAATCTAGAATTGTGGTAACAGAAAAAGCATTTTCTATTAGTTGATAGGCCGACCATCATCTGTGGTGGTCAGTTATGATACTTTCCTGATTGCTAACAGCCCTTTGATCAATTTTATTCAGTTGACCTGGATTTCGGTGTTTACTCTGGTGTATTTCCTGTTCGCTAGTTCTTGTTGTTTGTTGCTTCTGTTGTAATTTTTCTAAACATATATTTCTCCTTTAAGATGTACGTGTATTCCTATAATCATTTAGATATCAATAAGTTATAGTCGAAATTCATTTAAAAGAAATCATTTTTACCTATCTTATATATATTTGTTGAAAAAACTATCAGAAATATTTACTTTCATTCCTCACTTTATGCAAAATTCAATATCATCAGGAATATTGATTATTAAATTAATGAAAATAATTGATATAATTTTTTCCATTTTAACATTAGGATAAAAATTACTGTAGACATCAATGAAAGCAGTATTCAGTGTTAATCACGGAATAGGAATGACAACAGTGCTGCTGTCACATCTGCCAGTGCACCTTCCAGCCACAAAATATTGATTATCTTGATCTCAAGATATTTTTTTGTTGAATTGGCCCGTTTACTTTCGAAAGATTGAAGCTGATCATCTGCTACCCAAACTGCTGTGTTCTCGATATGAAGGTATACATTCATATTGAAGGTCATTAAAGGTCACCCTTAGGTAATGTTTTTAAGTATATATACAGAATTATTTCATTCATGCTTTGGTCAGTATAATAAATTTTTGGTGTATTTTTATAGGATTTTATCTTGAGCACTTCTTATACATAACTATCGAAAGAATCCTCTCAGCTTGGTACAGAGGTAGTTCATGGCATTGTATACCAAATTTATGAAATTTTATCACCACAAGCTTAGTCAAGCAAAACATATACATCATAATATACTGTAGGTTATTTCCCCAAAACAAAAATGATTTTCCTAGGTGTACAAAAGATTCCAGTGTCACAGAGGTCATTATTCATTTCAATGCCTCTGCTAGGATTCAAACCCAGGACCCCTGGTGTACTAATAAGACGCTCAACCTTTCGAGCTAAAGAGAAGTTTTCTCCAAAAAAGTGGTATATTGCGGCTGGTATTTACCAGGGTTTTACCAGCACTTGATTTTTTTTAATCTACAGAGTGCTAAAAATCAATCTACACCACATCATTTAATGTTGCAATACATCCCTGATATTCATCAATTTATGACTTGTCAATTATGTATGTGTACCAAATGACAATATAATGGTAACTCTTTCTCCCTTATTTGTTTGATTTGAGACTAAATGACAGATGCTTACCACCAAGGCCCCGTTAGATTGACTTTGAGACTAAATGACAGATACTTATCACCAAGGCCCCGTTAGATTGACTTTGAGACTAAATGACAGATGTTTATCACCAAGGCCCCGTTAGATTGACTTTGAGACTAAATGACAGATACTTATCACCAAGGCCCCGTTAGACTGACTTTGACATGTAATGGTAGACACGTAACCTTACTGTCCCGTTAGACTGACTTTAACATGTAATGGTAGACATGTAATACTTACTGCCCCTTTAGATTGACTTTGACATGTAATGGAGGACATGTTACCTAACTGCCCTGTTAGACTGACTTTGACATGTAACGGTAGACATGTTACCTTACTGCCCCTTTAGACTGACTTTGACATGTAACGGTAGACATGTTACCTTACTGCCCCTTTAGATTGACTTTGACATGTAATGGAGGACATGTTACCTAACTGCCCTGTTAGACTGACTGTGACATGTAACGGTAGACATGTTACCTTACTGCCCCTTTAGATTGACTTTAACATGTAATGGTAGACATGTAATACTTACTGCCCTGCTGAATTGATTTTGGCATACAAAAGTGTACAACATGCACCCTGTACTGCCCTGTAAGACTGACTTTGACATACAAAAGTGTATAACATGCACCCTTTACTGCCCCGTAAGACTGACTTTGACATACAAAAGTGAATAACATGTACCCTTTACTGCCCCATAAGACTGACTTTGACATACAAAAGTGTATAACATGCCCCATTTACTGCCCCGTAAGACTGACTTTGACATACAAAAGTGTATAACATGCACCCTTTACTGCCCCTTAAGACTGACATTGACATACAAAAGTGAATAACATGCACCCTTTACTGCCCCATAAGACTGACATTGACATACAAAAGTGTATAACATGCCCCATTTACTGCCCTGTTAGACTGACTTTGACATACAAAAGTGTATAACATGCACCCTTTACTGCCCCGTAAGACTGACATTGACATACAAAAGTGTATAACATGCCCCATTTACTGCCCCGTAAGACTGACTTTGACATACAAAAGTGTATAACATGCCCCATTTACTGCCCCGTAAGACTGACTTTGACATACAAAAGTGTATAACATGCACCCTTTACTGCCCCGTAAGACTGACTTTGACATACAAAAGTGTATAACATGCCCCATTTACTGCCCCGTAAGACTGACTTTGACATACAAAAGTGTATAACATGCCCCATTTACTGCCCCGTAAGACTGACTTTGACATACAAAAGTGTATAACATGCACCCTTTACTGCCCCGTAAGACTGACTTTGACATACAAAAGTGTATAACATGCCCCATTTACTGCCCCGTAAGACTGACTTTGACATACAAAAGTGTATAACATGCCCCATTTACTGCCCCATAAGACTGACTTTGACATACAAAAGTGTATAACATGCCCCATTTACTGCCCCGTACGACTGACAACAAATTCTACATTGTTGATTGTGTGGTTGTATACATGTTGTTGTTGTTGTAGATTTAAGTTTACTCAAAATTTATGTTATTCTTTTATGTAGTTTATAAATTCATCTTCCCTGATTTTATTTAAGATTTTTTAGAATAAAACAAATGGACTATCACTTGTGTTTGTTAGTTGTATATTCTTAAATATATAATTAGATCCTACTCCCCCAGATAAATTAGGGGTGAGTTTGGGATCACTTCTCCTCACACACAGGGTGAAAATTACCTATCTTTACATCCATACTTCTCTACATCGGACTTGGTTAAGTTTGTGATCACATTGTACATCCCAAGCTTGTGTGCAAGGTACACCATCAAGTTCTACACCAGTGTGTTTTAAAGGTCAAGGTTAAAGGTCACCATTAAGCACTTTTGGAATCAGAGGCTGATGGGTCCTGACAATGCAGACAATCTTTGATCAATTGAGGTTATTTTAATTTGAATGCCAGTGTTGAAACTTCAGGAAAATGTAAAATTTTGATGAGGCTGAAAAATAACACTCATTTTCCTTTCCTTAAATATCCATTCAATTTTCAAATTAACAGAACAAATCAAACTGGTGTATGTTTAATGGTGACCAGATTTTTTAGCCAAAAATTAGCACTTGCATGAGACCATCTCTGGATTATTTCAGGTAACTTAACAAAATGAACTGAATCCCTATGGTTCACTAAAAAACATGGCCGTTGTGCTCGTCATGTCCATTCTCGTAGATTAATGCTGTAATTCATTCTGTTGTTCACTGGTTTATTGTATATTCTGTTGATGTCGTAATGTTAACAGCATAACAGGTGCATCTGCTCTAACATATCTTTATTTTGTGTTTTTCAATCCTTTATTTAACTTGTTCAATTCTGTTGAAATTATTTGATTGATTTAAGTAAGTTAAAAAGAAAACACATGAAATTGAATATCATGAAATATGAAAAGTTTGATATTAGCTTTCTCTTCATTGATTGCAGCCTTTATCTCAACAATGATAAGGATGTTAAATTACTGCCGTACAAAAATCTGACACCGAAATGAAACAAAACAACTTGATATTCCATCTGTGTGAGATGATCTACATACAAAACCAAAAGAATTTCTGTCTTGTTCTGTCCAGGACAATCATTTCATATATTTGATGTGTGGAATGGTCTTCAAAATGTCTTCAATGTTTAAAAAAAATTTCCTATATAAACAGATGAGCATGAACAATTGTTTCATAATTGCCCCAACACAACCAATTATTCTAATCCTTTCATATATTAATATTTCATAACATTGCAGTCATATTGGACTGAAGACAATGAAAAATGTTCATCATTTTATCCAAAATCATTTAATTGAAATATTACAACATTTGTGCACTGCTATGTCATATTTGCACTGAAACATATACATAAAACTTCAAAAAGAATGCACAGCACTTTCCTTTATAAGGTATGCCCTATTTGTGTATCAAAGTTGGATGTGCTGACCTGATTTAGCAACTATGTGTTAAGGCAGGCTCACATGACGGTCACATGACTTGCTATGTATGTGCGGACTGCTTGATACACCCAGGTTATAGCTGTTGACATAATGAATGGTGATAGTGGTATACACAATAAAAGCATTTAAGGAAATGAAAGTCATTTTCAAAAGACATATTTAATATGAGTTGTAAAGTAAAAATAGCTATTTCCTTTCTTTAACACTAACACCGCCAATTTTCTGCTTAATGTCACTAGTTAAACTGGAGAAATCTTAACATGTTTTTCAAAATGACAGACACATTGGATCTTAGACTGACTGGAAAGTATCAAAACTTGTTCAGGACCATCTCGGATCATTTCAGGCAAGTTTGAATCTTATCATGGACTTAAAAAGAAGTTTAATGTGTGAAAATTTCACCTCTTATAAAATAAAGTTTGTGTACAAGACATAAAAAGATAGAAATATCAGAGAGTTGTGGGAGGAGCGGGTGGGGGGAGGGTGGGGAGGTGTGTGGTTGGGTGATATTTAAAAAAAAAAATTCCTTGGTAGATGAGGGTTCTGAAAAATGTCAAGTAGTTTTCAGAGCACATCCCCAACACATGTAAAATCTGGAAACTCTGATGTAAAAACTTTATGTTGTAATGCTAAGTTACATATCAATATTTAATGCTGGACCATATTTGACTTTTGCACTTTACTTAAGTACCAAAGAGCAAGCTTGTGTTGATAACCTGGTGTTTCCTTACTTACCTGGTGTACATCAACAGATAGTGCCTTATCACAGACTTGACTTGAAATAAAACAATCTCCATTTAAACTTGGCTGTAATAACTACAAACACATGTTTACAGGTTAAAACTTCTCTCGGATTTGTGAAGTAATATTATTTCATTTGTTATAATTAGTCCATGAAAAGCATCCATATTTATTGATCGTGTGCTAATAGTGGCGTACATTGTACCTTTCATTAAACACTCAGGATGACTGTAATGGATACCGAAAACTGTATAAAGAGGAACTGTTACACATCTACTGCTTTATAAGATCGAAATGCTGTCCTTTCTGTTGCTTTAAGAAGGTGACCTAGAGTTCGCCTTGGTCCAACCTCGTATGTTTTGGGGTATGCTCTTCCTTGAGGACGAGAATAGATCTTCCTAATTGTCTGTTCCCATTTAATAGGCTGAACCATTTGCTCCGATATCAAAGTCTTCGCACGCTTGATATTTCCTGGATATGGGTTAGAGGTCACATTAGAATATACAGGTACATTGCCTTTCTTCAATTTCATGTCGTTCAATACATTATCAACCTCCACAGATGCCTCTCTCATTAAACTTGTATGGAATGCACCACTTACATTCAATCTTTTAAAATGACGTATTCCAAAGTCTTCCTGTGTTTGTACAAGGAAATCCAAAGCCTACAACAACAATAAAAACACTAGCAAAATCTAAATTTCTTAGATTGATAAACAGGGTTCAATGGAGCTGATATAAAGAGTATGTTTGGTGGGATTTATTTGCAACCAACAAGTCCTTATCATTATAACTGTGAACTAAGAAGAAGGTATGCCTACATATGACAGTTATCAAGGTTAAAAACAAATCATAAATATATGTCAGTAAACAGAGATCATGCAAAGGTGTACAATCTAAGTTTTGTACACATGCAAGTACATGTAATGCACAAATTTACCAACATTGAACTTGTGTTACATCCATATAGAATGTATTGATTTACAACTGTATAAAGAGTGATGTGTTACAGCTGTATAGAGTGTGTAGTGTTACAGCTGTATAGAGTGTGTAGTGTTACAGCTGTATAGAGTGTGTAGTGTTACAGCTGTATAGAGTGTGTAGTGTTACAGCTGTATAGAGTGTGTAGTGTTACAGCTGTATAGAGTGTGTAGTGATACATCTATATAGAATGTATTGATTTACAAATGTATTGATTTACAACTGTATAAAGAGTGATGTGTTACAGCTGTATAGAGTGTGTAGTGTTACAGCTGTATAGAGTGTGTTGTGTTACATCTGTATAGAGAGTGTAGTGTTACAGCTGTATAGAGTGTGTTGTGTTACAGCTGTATAGAGAGTGTAGTGTTACAGCTGTATAGAGTGTGTTGTGTTACAGCTGTATAGAGTGTGTTGTGTTACAGCTGTATAGAGTGTGTTGTGTTACAGCTGTATAGAGTGTGTTGTGTTACATCTGTATAGATTGTGTTGTGTTACAGCTGTATAGAGAGTGTAGTGTTACAGCTGTATAGAGAGTGTTGTGTTACAGCTGTATAGAGTGTGTTGTGTTACATCTGTATAGAATGTATTGATTTAAAACTTGAAGATTGCTCCTGTGTTGTGTTACAGGTGTATAGAGTGTGTAGTGATACAGCTTTATAGAGGGTGTTTTGTTACAGCTGTACAGAGTGTGTAGTGATACAGCTGTATAGAGCGTGTTGTGTTACAGGTGTATAGAGTGTGTTGTGTTACATGTGTATAGAGTGTGTAGTGATACAGCTTTATAGAGGGTGTTGTGTTACAGCTGTATAGTGTAGTATTACAGCTGTATAGAATGTGTTTGGTTACAGCTGTATAGAGTGTGTTGTGATACAGCTGTATAGAGTGTGTAGTGATACAGCTGTATAGAGTGTGTAGTGTTACAGCTGTATAGAGTGTGTTGTGTTACAGCTGTATAGAGTGTGTTGTGTTACAGCTGTATAGAGTGTGTTGTGTTACATCTGTATAGAGAGTGTAGTGTTACAGCTTTATAGAGTGTGTTGTGTTACAGCTGTATAGAGAGTGTAGTGTTACAGCTGTATAGAGAGTGTTGTGTTACAGCTGTATAGAGTGTGTTGTGTTACATCTGTATAGAGAGTGTAGTGTTACAGCTTTATAGAGTGTGTTGTGTTACAGCTGTATAGAGAGTGTAGTGTTACAGCTGTATAGAGAGTGTAGTGTTACACAGGAGTGTGTTGTGATATAGAGTGAGTGTGTTGTGTTACAGCTGTATAGAGTGTGTTGTGTTACAGGTGTATAGAGTATGTTGTGATACAGCTGTATAGAGTGTGTTGTGATACAGCTGTATAGAGTTTGTAGTGATACAGCTGTATAGAGGGTGTTGTGTTACAGCTGTATAGAGTGTGTTGTGTTACAGCTGTATAGAGTGTGTTGTATTAAAGCTGTATAGAGTGTGTAGTGATACAGCTGTATAGAGTGTGAAGTGATACAGCTGTAGAGATATGTTGTGTCACATCTGTAGAGAGTATGTTGTGACACAGGTGTATAGAGTGTGTTGTGTAACATCTGTAGAGATATGTTGTGACACATCTGTAGAGATATGTTTTGACACATCTGTAGAGATATGTTGTGATAAAACTGTATAGAATGTGTTGCACAATGACAGCTGTCTTTTACTGAAATATGCATATAAAGAGGTTAATAAATGATTATAAAAAGGAAATCCATCTCTGTTGATCAACAGTCTGGATATGTAAATTTTTGTGCCATATATGATAACGCATTTTCACAAAACATTGTTTCTTGTGAACAAAAATGGCTTTGGTCGCGGCAATGTTGGTGACTAATGTCACTTAATTTGTAATTCTGGATTAACTTAGAGTTATCAAATAACATTTGCCACACCCATAACAAAATCCAGTGCTAAAAATGGAATTCTACCTACTGTGTCACTACTGTGTCAGTCATTTCTTCCTGCCATCTATAATATTATATCTATATATTCATGTTTCCAAAATGAACTGCCTTGTTTTCAAAGCTATTGGGTAGTGTTATCAGCACTAAATTTGAGAGGGTTTTCCAAAAACCAAAGAAGTGATTAAGCTCGACATTGAAAGCTGTGAATATCAGGATAACATAGAAACGTAAATGGAAATGTATAAAACGTGTACAATCTATAACAAAATTAATGTTTTTACGCTGATGTCCCTTAACATCTATATAGATTGTGTTGTATTACAACTGTATGGAGCATACCATTTATATTAGTTTTAAATGTGCCATGTTACAGCTGTATGTATTCAGTGACCGTATGTTGTGGGTTATCTAGAGAATTTACCTCAGTATGACCAGCTACTACTTTCCTTTCTGTTCCTAAGAAGGATGCTATTTCACATACAGGATTTTCAATTGTGACTTTAGCTTTGCAGTATTCCTTTGCTGACAACATGGCTTCCTTAAGGTAACTGTTACAATCATATATAGCTGTCATCATACCACTTGAAACCTCCTCGGAGCTCCTCTGCATAGCTTCAGCTCTCACCTTAATAAGTTTTATCCCTAGTTAAAAAGGCAGATAATGAGAGATTACCTGAAATGCTAGTATATAAAGGAATGAAAATTCTGTAATTCTTGGAAATTGTTTCATAATTACTTATTGTTATCCTCAGAACACATTAATCCTTCACAATCTTACTATATTCCTATTCAAATTCACATTCCAGGGAAAAAATTGTATTTATATAATGAATAGTAATTTAATCTTAACCCTGCTTCAAAGTGATATTACAACTGGTGTATGAATTTAAAGAAAGCTCTGGCCACAATTTCAGCAGAAAAATATTAACACATTGTGTTAGTGATAACAACTTATGACATTAAAAGACCAACTGGTGAAGAAAACAAATTATCTACAGACAAATGGAATTCATTATGAAATATAGTTCTATTGGCACTTTGAAAATGAACATTGGAATTATCAGACACCTTTTCTGAAAAATTATTTTTACCATCTTCAAAGGACAGGGCTTCTGCAAACATCAGGGCAGTTATCTCCCCTACACTGAAGCCTGCTGCAGCAATACAGAAGTCTACAGCCTGAAAATAATAGCAATTTAACTGAACATATATGTCATAAATCAAGATAAAAACAGAAGGATAACACATTGACTGACTACATCAACAAGTTTCATATCTATATTTCAATTTTCAATTGAGCAATTTAAAAAACAGTAACAGTGTAATTTTGTATCATTTTCTTCAGGTTGGCCATGTCAATAGAAAAGAAGTTCTAATGTCTAATAACAACCAATAGCAGCACAAGATTTCACTGTGACAATGTTGTCATCTTCCTCAGATAAAATAACCAGCATGACGCATCTTAGCACAGAGGTATGGAGTGGATTAGGTGGTATGGAAATAATGAATTTACTGTTTAGTCTGTACTATAATCTGATGCACACCAAGGTAAAAAATTGTGTGATGAGATGATAAAAAAGATTAAATAAAAACTGATAGTAGCAACATACTTTACTTATTTCAGCTAAAAAAAGTCAGTAATATTTTTTGTAAACAGGACTTTTATCAACATGATCATTTCTATGTTGGCATCATAATATTTCTCATTTTTGATAAATACATTTGTAATAAGGGTGGGAAAATGTATGGCCAAGCTGGGGTTCAAACTTGGGACCCTTCAAACTCTAGACAACTGACCCAGTCCAGGTTCACTATAATCCTTCCTTTTTTGTAAGCCTTTGCCCCCAAAGACACAACTATTTACAATACAGGTTCAGGTATCCCCTTTCCTGCTTGGAATAAGAGTTGATCAAAGGCATCAAATGTAATAGGAGTGGGAAAATGCATGGCCAGGCCAGGGTTTGCACCATGGATTCTACATACTCTAGAATGGTATACGTATGCCTATTTTTAGCTTCCTGGTCACTGACAACTGACCCAGTCTAGTTCCGCTACATATATATACTGTTTGATGCCTGTGATTCCATGGATCTAAGTGACTGACCCAGATTATTCTGATGTTCAGTCTGGAGTTCATCTATTCCAGACTGATGTAAAAGAAGTTGCTAGGTTGATGTAGGGGGTGAATTTGTGTACGCTATTTGGTTTCCGGCCCCAGCTGGGGAAGGTCAGTCTGTGTCATAACAGAAGGTTTTGATTTTTTCTCAACTAAATCAGTGACATATCTCTAGCACAGGTCTAGGGATTGAGTGTAAACAAACGACCCACATCATAAGAAATGCAAGTTTAGATGTGAATTATGCCTCCTTTCTAGGTAAAACAGATGCATTTAAAATCTGACAGATTTACATAGTTTAGAATTTCAAAAAATCTGAAAAATCAAACCGTGTAATATCTGTAACTTTAAAAAAAAATCAGAAAAGTTCATGGTTCAGTGCAGCATACATGTATTCAACCCCTGAAAATTACAATTCATCGATTTAAAAAAAATGACATCTAAATTAATGAATTCAAAGTGTCGGAATTTTGAAAACATTTCAGTAGATTGATGTAGAAACTATTTAATTATTAAATTTCTGGTAGGGGTATCGGGGCCACGAACAGTGTACACAACTTCACCCCCACCCAGTTGAAATGTCTAGATCTTGACATAGTAATTTTGATGTGGTATTCTTTTACCTCTGGGTTCTCCTCACGTAGTTTTTCCACTGCTGCCAGGGAAGTAACGACAATCGCAGGTTGAGAAAACTCAGTTTTAGATAATTTTGAATCTGGCCCCTTTAAACAGAGCTCCAGTAGGTCATATCCAAGGACACCGCTCGCGCGTTCATAAACATCTTTGGCGTTTGGAATATGTACGAGTTTTTTACCCATTCCCACAAAATGACTTCCCTGTCCTGGAAACATCAATACTGATGTCAGCGACGGGTCAATTCCAGCCCTTTTCTTTTCTACTGGACTTGATTTTGACGTGTTCTTCTTGAGACTAACTTCATCCGATGGAAACATCCCACCCGTTGTTTCCGAATCCCCTGTGTACATGTCAGTGACATGTTGCTTTAAAGATTTTTGGTCAATTTTGTGGGGTTTCTTTTTCGACTCGTCACTAAAATATTCATCGTCGGGGCCAGTACAGAACTTCTTCTGTAATAAAAAATGAAAGCGACAGTGACGTACGCAACTTGGTGTTAACTTTAAACGACGTATAAACTTCAATGCTGAAAAAGAACCGCTAGAATTCATGTTTTTAGTTAACCGGAAGTAATGAACATGTGTTTATATCGAAAATGGATCCGTGATGTAAAGACGAAATTTACTAGAAATGTAAGAATATACAAACTGAACATAAATAATTTTTTTTGAAGAAACACTTTACACATAGGACAAAATGTGTTATTTTTATTCAAATTTGTTGTATGATATGTCGCAAAATATAGATGACATGTTCAGAGGTTATTCCGAATGGAATATATTCCCGCGTTTTACGAAACACGTGACAAAGTTTATTGTTGACTTCAGAGTTTTGCTGAGGACGAAGAGTGAAAAGAATACAAACGATCATCAAAGGTATTTCAATGATTTATTGTTATCAGTACAAGTGCTACCTCTATATATTTTAGATATTTTATTTATGACAGCTTCTCTAATCAAATTAGAGATAGCAATGTACGCGTAATTTGGAAAGCAATTCGAAAAACTCGCCGTCGACCCCATGGTCTCTCAATTTCTCTCTTTGGGAACAAAACCCGCCATCTCAGACGGTTTCGTGTTGATTGTTTTTTTTTGTAAATTCTTTGAAATGCACAAGAAAAAAATCACTGACCGAGGTATTTGTAACCGGTAGCAAATCCCATCTGCTGAAGTTAAGCCCCAAACATTTTGCTGACTTTTTCTACATATGTGAAATGCTTTCAGGGCTCTCGATCTGCCAGATTTGGGGTCGGGCCCCAGTCACAAAATGTGTGAGAGCCCTGGCTTTGTGAACAGATATGTACAATTTGACAATACACACCGTTTGTACCATGTGTAATTTATCAGCGCTATATTAGACTCCTTCGGACTCGTTCATATCGGACGTTTGACAATGTCCTTTGTCGGAATTTTGTATCAGGCCCATAAACTATTCAGTCTGGTGGACCTAATGTCTTGCACGAAAAAAAAAAACAACTTCCAAAACGTTTGGACACAATGCGTTGAATAGATAAAGTGTTCGAGATAGAAAACTTTAGAGGATATATATTACCCAATGCAGGGATATATGATGCTTTTGAACGCTATTCATTCAGGGACTCGGGGATTGCTTGAAGTATATGTATCTTGATTGAAGATTTTATAGGCAATGAAAAACATCTGTGTGGATCGTAATTTTTTTAATGGTGGTACGCAAGACAGGTTACTAGGCAATATTTGAAATGGGCTGTAGCAAATAAATTCATTATGAGACTTTGCTCGTGAGTCAACTGCAAGTCAAAATGGCTGGTCAACTGAAGAGGATGTGTCTTGTAAAATATGATAATTTAGGATATATAGTGTGTGTCATGAGAGAATGGTTGCATTTCTGAAAAAGAAAAATGTCTTGACTAGCATTGGAGGTAGGTCCACCAGACTTTATTTCCAAAATAGCATTTATAGAGCCTGACAAGGGATTCTGTCGAGGGACATTGTCAAACGTCTGATATAAAGGAATCCCAAAAGGGGTTACGGTAACCCTAACTTCCCTAATCTTGTTTGCATCAGGTCATCAAAATGTCTTCCCCTGTGACCCCAAGAAGGAAGAGTAAAAGGGGGAGGGAAGAGACGAGCAGTCCACCTCCAGAGGAAACGGACCCAGTCACACGTAAGTCTCATAGTGATCATAAGGATGACTAGTTAACAACTTTGTTTTCCTGTATCAGGATACCATGATAGTTTGAAATAAATTGATGTTTAACTCAGTTTATTCTTAAATGCATTTAAAAGATGGTTATGAATTGTATTTGCCAACAAGAAAACATAACTCAAAGTTGTCAATAATGACGTCGTTCCGTCCCATCTTAATTAATCCATTGTTTTTAATACAACTTTTTGGATTTGATTCATTTTTAGCATCAAGACGAAGTACAAGATCAGGAGCGTCGACACGTAAGTATCCTTTTGAATAATTTTAACTATTTAAATGAAATAATTCATCGATTGGTAATGAAACAAATACTAAGTAAGCAGTGAAATTGGCGATGATTACTTGATGTTTATAGAATGGTGACACGATGATGCATCAGGGAAAATAATGTGGACTTCTGACCATTATTCAGGTTGTACAGAGAAGTCTTGACTCATCTAGGTCAGGAAGGAGAGGCTTTAATCTGAATGTTTTCACAATATTCAAAATCCAAAAAGTTTAGTTCACGGTGTTTGAAATGTTTTGAAGGTAAAATAAATTGTCTGTTTATTTTTTATAGCTTCTACTAAAGGAAGTGCAAGGAAACAGAGAGCCTCATCAAAAGATGATGCGACATCCCCACCAAAAAAAGACAGAAGAATTGACAGTTCTCCAGGGGCTGATTTGGCTCCACTTCCATCATCCCCTCCATCTGGGGCACAGCAGGAGTCGTCTCTCTTTTCTAGTCCTCCACAGTCCAGAACTGGGGGTAGGTAGATGTTAGGAGAGAAACGTGTACATCCCTGTAAGAAAATGAATGCTCCTCAATGTATACTAGTCCCTTAATGTTATGCTTTGATAACAGTATTCTTTTTGGCTTATCTTATTTACTCTACATTCACTTTTATCTTAAAAATCTGTTTAATTCAAAAGTCTGATCACAGAAATTTCATTTATTAGAAATTCCTGAATGCTTTAGGGTGTTTTGGAAATTTATTGTCTTGGAGATCTGAAGGATCAAACATCAGTTCTTAAATTTTTAGGAATTATTCTAAAACACGAAGAAAAAACCTTGTTTCAGGTGTTGTCTGACTTCAGCATTCTCACACATTGGTGCTTGTTCTAAACTCCCAAAAAAACCCAATTAAACAATTACATCTTTCAGATGGAGTTCATTTATCTCAAATGTTGTCACATTCTCAAACACCTTTAGATAATATTGATTCTTATGAACATTTCAATCCCTCCTATTACACACAAATTTAAAAAGCCATAATATAGCATGTAGAGTTATAAACAAGTTTATTACACTTTCATATTGCAGCTCCAACAAGTGAAATTGACCTTAGTTCTCCATTGAATTATGGAACTCCGAGTTCAAGAGGTGGCCCCAGGACACCTGGTGTTCTGAATACTCCTATCCGCAGTCGTCCAGATGTTCGAAGTGATCGCAAGTTGAGACAAGTGACAATAGGAGGATCAGATCCTAGTGTAGGTGTCGAAGTTTCACGCATTAAAAACTTGTGCAGCAATTTTCCTGAAAATGATTGTCATAACAGAATAACGGTGATGAAGAAAACGTTTCTACAATATCTTACCTGTGTTTTCACCTTAATAAAGATACTGTTTTGTAAAGTATTCAGATATGAAATGTGAAGTTTATTTTAACTCTGAGCCCAATTGGAAACAATTTTGTTATCCCCTTGGTAATATTTAAAATAAGTAATATTTAAACTTGGTAATATTTCAAACTTTATTTCATGTAGAGTCAATGAGAGTAATGTATTGTCATATTTTTGCATTTGTTGACAAACATAATTATTGCTTGTTTCTTGATATGCTGTAGGAGCCAACCCGTATCACTAGTGAGATCACCAGTGATCCCAATGCCGGGCCACAACTCGTGATCTGGGGCACAGATGTTGTTGTGAGTCACTGTAAAGAGAAGTTCCGTAGATTCATTGCACGCTTCATCGACAGAAACGTGTCGGAAGATGAAGAGTTTTCAGGAATGGACATAAATGAACCTTACTACCTTCAACGTTTGGAAGAGGTTAGCATTCATAATTGATTTAAGTAGAATGCAAATGGAGTAGAATATTATTTAGAAATACCTAACTTATTTGCTTGTGTAGTTGGTAATGTATGTCATTTCAATTCATAATTTGTTGGACAGGTACTATAACAACAACATATTATATTATATTATAATATATAATTATAATATAATATTAAAAAAACAGAAAAATTTGTCAATGTGAAAATGAAGTTAGTATCATTGAAAAATTAGAATTAAGTGTTTGTGTTAAAACTACACAAAATAGTCAGGTCACTGGGGTCTGTTTGTCATGTATGATCAAGTATTAGTTATTGCTTCCAATGGAAGAAACTAAGGGATGTATTGATATTTCTGTGGTAACAGGTGAATGTGGTGGGTGAACCGTTTCTTGGGATCAACTGTAGCCATTTAAAGGAGTTTGATCAGGATCTGTACCGCCAGCTGATTGCCTACCCCCAAGAAGTAATTCCTACTTTTGACATGGCCATCAATGAAATGTTCTTTGATCGATACCCAGACACTGTTCTGGAACACCAAATTCAAATACGACCTTACAATGCAGAGAAGACCAAGAATATGCGTTCATTGAATCCTGAAGGTAAAGTTTTACTTCACAGATCTTGATTAAAGTATTTGGAGGAAAAACACATTGTTGACTAGTAATCTAATAAATTTTTTTAATGATTTTGCTATCAATGTGATAAATCCTTATCCTGGCATGTAATGTCCTCTTCCTCATACAGTAAGTGAAATCCATGCTCAACACAGGTAGGTAGGTAGACCTTTATTTTTATGAATGAATTAGCAGAAGAATAAGAAAAAAAAATGAAAAAAGATGCAAGCTTTGTAATACCTTCCAAATAATTATGTAGATGTCTTATTGTGGATTTCATGTTTATCCAGACATTGACCAGCTGATAACAATAAGTGGTATGGTGATCCGCACATCCTCGTTGATCCCAGAGATGCGAGAGGCCTTCTTCAAATGCTACGTGTGTGCTAACACTGTCTCCGTGGAGATTGACCGTGGCCGTATCTCAGAGCCTACTCTCTGTACCAACTGCAACACCAACCATTCCTTTGCCATGGTGCATAACCGTTCACAGTTCACTGACAAACAGATGATCAAACTCCAGGAATCTCCCGGTAAGATAAAAAGCCATATATGTGTCAGATTGGAGAAATTCTCTCCCTTGTTTAATGCTGAGAATTCTATTTAGCCTAGAGTTGATATCAATATTGACACCAGTAAAAATATTTTGTGCATAAAAATTAGATTAGAAGATTGTAAATCTCCATGGTAGCTCAGTAGAAACATCAGATCAATGTTGCCTGTGGTAACTGGTGGAGACCTGAGGTGTGTAATTCAAATACTGACTCCCTCAAGGGGGATATGAGGAATTGTCCTGTAGGGAATTTGGAAGTGTCCTTGAGCAAGACACCTCAACAGACAGTAAACAAAATTTGAACACAGTTACAGAGATATGAAAAGAGCATAGAATACCTAGACCCACTGAGAATTCCTCTTTGATATCAAACAGAGACAGTAAAGATTTTACTTATTTGGGATTTTACCCTAATAGAACAAGCCAGGAAAATAATTTGTAGAAAATGACATGGATTTAGCCTCATTCAGCCTGAACATATTCTGATTACCATTCCAGCCATTTCATGTCTTGTTCAATACTTCATTTGTGAAAATTAGTTTTAATGATTTTCAAAACTTTAACTCATTGTTTGAAAAATGTTTATATTTCTCAGATGACATGCCACCTGGTCAGACCCCACACACAGTATCTCTTTATGCCCACAACGACCTTGTGGACAAAGTCCAACCAGGTGATCGAGTGACCATCACTGGTATCTATCGTGCCACACCTCTCCGTGTTAATCCACGTCTCCGCAATGTCAAGTCGGTGTATAAGACTCACATTGATACTGTACACTTCCGTAAATTGGATACATCCAGACTTCGGGAATGCACTGTGGATGATGATGAACAGTAAGTTGTTTGATTTTAAGGATAAGTAGCAGAGTTCTACATCCTGTACAGATAACATGCTCTTTGATGCACGGTACAGTTCGTAAATTAGACACAAATAGCATATTTGTGAAATGAAAAATAAACTTATTTTACAACAATTTTGAAACAAGTTTTTTGAACTTAGATAAAAAAAATTTTGTGAATGAGAACATTGAGGCATCAAAATCAAAGTTTGATGGAGTGCATTATCCCATTGCTCTAAGTCCATCATTTTAGTTCTGTTTGAAAGTGAGGGACACTAATTTTGATATTCGTAAATTATTGACTGTTTGTTATTGATGTTTTATCTGTTGCAGAAAAGAAGCTGTGTTAAGTCAAGAGAGAATTGATTTCCTTAAAGAACTGTCAAAGAAGTCTGACATATATGAAAGACTAGCCCATGCTATTGGTAAGTAGCAATACAGTGAAGCTTATTATATGTGATATAATCTGCAAATGTCTGTAGTGTTTTAATTTTTCAATCAAATAATTTAATCCAACGAAGGATAATAGTTATATAAATAATTTCTGTTTATTATTGAGGTTCAGAAGCCGTTGTGTATTGAAATAATGTAAAAATAATTATTTATTCCAATTGAAATAATATTGGATTTGTATATTGATTTACATGTTTTTAAATTTTGATATTAATGTTTAGTCTATCAATATTGGCTGAAATTAAAACTGAAATGAAAAATCGTGTTGAAATACCTTTATGTAGGTATTGTTATGAGGTCTGCAAAAGGTTGATAAGAAGTGCTGTTGAGAGATGACATAGATATATGATAGCATTGTTATTTTGATTACAGCCCCAAGTATTTATGAAAATGAAGATGTAAAGAAAGGAATCCTGCTGCAGTTGTTTGGGGGATGTAGAAAAGATTTTTCTAATACAGGCCGAGGGAAATTCAGGTAATTCTAACAATTCATTATTTGCCCAGGTAGTCTCTCGCTTTTTCCAAAAACTTAACCATGTTTGCCTGTGTCCTTTTTGCCCTTAGATGCTAAAAACTTTTGCCTTTTACTGTAATGTCATTTTCGTGGGCCTTGTTTTGTGGTTTTTCAAAAAACCAGTTTCGTGGACTTTCAATTTTATTGATGAATATAGCTCCCTAAATGAACTTGCACTTATTATGACATTTTATGGACATATACCCAAGTGGATTAAGAATAATGAATACAAATCCTGCACAAAAATTGATGATTTAACTGTAACTAAAAGGCAAAAAGGGTTAACGTTGAACAACAGCAAAATGTTTTTTGTGTTCAGTAGCTGTACAAAAAATGCTCTTTTGCTTCTTTTTCACTTGAAGCAAAAAGTGCCATATCCAGAACTTATTTCTGCAATAGTTGTTTACTAAATGTGGCTGACTTATTAGTTGGATAAAGATATTGGTGATTGTGACCGTCTTATTGTTCAGAATTTTTTTTATTTTTGGGAAATCATTACTTAGGTAACAGAACTTGTGTAAATGGCTGTTAAAACTGCCCCTGTTTCTTATTTGAGGACACTCTGTCATACAAGGGGACGCAGGGAGTAAGAGTTTCAGTATTGCATTTACAACAGCCATCAAACAGAGATGTAGTTTACATACCGTAAATTTTCGCGTATAGTGCACACTTTTTCAAGCTAAAACTGTTGTGTAAAAAAGAGGGTGCGCATTATAGGCAGGAACATGCCATTCTTGGTGTTATCATTCCCGAGTTCTGCGTCTGCCATATTGGATTACCTCCCTTCACATAGTTATATGTAAAAGTCGTCGGTCTTATATGATAGTTAGGAAATAAAAACAACAGCAACAAAAATGTAAAATAAAATAAACTTCGAATGTTTTAATCATCGGCCATTCACGCTAGTATTACGGTGAATCTAATTTTTTTGTTTCGTTTCCCGTCGTTCGAATAGTGACGGTCTTACTATTGGTCGGGGCTATAGTAGTGTCTGAATTTCTGCCTCATTTTGATGATGTACCTGTGGAATTCAATGTGTCTGGAAGTTTTTGTGCGATTGTCGTTCTGTTCATAAATCAGACAGCCCATCCCACCGATGCCCAAAGTTGGTGACCCCATGACCTCTCTTGATCTGCATGGCCTGCACGCGCAGTTCTGTTGTACTGACAGCGATGCCGGCATCTCGGCGATCGCATACAAAGTTGAACAGCTCTCTCTCCATCTCTGGGTGTTTCCCTGTCGCACCTATGTCAGCTCTTCTGGTCAGTGGTTGGGACTTCAGACGGTTTTTTTTTCTTCCGTGCCTTGATATTTCACTCTGGAATGTCGAAGTGGCGACCGGCAGCACGAAACTCAAGTCTCTTGTCGTAGTCCATGGCGTTCGCTGTTTCCCCATGTCGAAGTCGGTGTAAACAGTCTATAACTAAGTACCTTTTGATACCGTGGTAGGTACAGATATGGGGACAATGTATGATTGAAACTTTTCAGACAGTTAAAACAACATCAGTAGTACGCGTTCAGCCGAAGCTGGGTGTCATCAATCTCCTCATACTCAACGTGTTTGTTACCTGTTAAGAACCGTTAATTATCCAATTAACTAAGCCTTTCATGCTTGTTAAGTCAGGTACCTGTGTGAATTTGTTTACATAAGGTAATTAAATATGTTAGGGTCACGATGATTGTGGTTTCCTCATATATCTATAAAAGTTTAGCTCCCTGAGACACGTAAGACACATTAAGCTAGTAACACGCGTTATCCGTTTATGTGTGTGTGCTGTGCAACGTGTGTCACCGCGTGTGTCTGGTTTTGGTTTATTGAGGTTAATCAACCAAACAGGCAAACAAAGAAAAGTAGAAATAGGGCAAATATTGTATATTTCACCGGAGTGGAATATCTTATTAAATTGGACAGAATCAGATAGATTATTCCGTGGTGGCATAGCATCCACGTGTTTATCGAACGGAATTTGATCAGTGTGAGGTGAGGCCCTTAGTCACCATTGCATCTGAAATACCATAAAAAGTCACATATAGTATGATTTAGATTCTGGTGATAATACAATAATGTGACCACGGATAGTTTTGTTTTCGAAAGCGGTAGGTAAATATTCATTTCATCGGAAAAAAAAACTTTTTTACCCGAGTGCGCACTATACCCGCAAATTTACGGTAGATATTTGATGGATGAAATTGCTTATAATCCATGATTGTATCGTAGTGACTGATATTTGATGGATTCCTTTCAGGTCGGAGATGAACATTTTGCTTTGTGGGGACCCAGGAACTAGTAAGTCACAGTTGCTGCAGTATGTACACCACCTAGTGCCACGTGGTCAGTACACATCAGGAAAAGGTTCCAGTGCAGTAGGTCTGACCGCCTATGTGACCAAGGACCCAGAGACACGACAGCTTGTTTTGCAAACGTAAGTGACAAGTCTCATTATTAACACTTGCCTATACAAAGAAACTGATAATGGTAAATGAAACTTAATGAAGTATATCACCCTAAAGAGAAAAACATTTAGAGCTATCAGGAAGAATGAATTTACACTCAGATCATTAAAACACTTGAATGGTAATCAAGGATGATGTATGTTACAGAGGTGCCCTGGTTCTCAGTGACAATGGTGTGTGCTGTATTGACGAGTTTGACAAGATGAACGACAGCACCAGGTCGATTCTGCATGAAGTCATGGTAAGTATTTCTTTCAATAACAGTTTGGTTGTGTATCACATTCAGAGTTGACTCGGAGAGACATGTAAATTATGGCAGTTGCTTGCTGAATTCTACAGAGATCAGTTTCCTGGACTCCTACAATTGGCTGCTATTGTGTCCCGTCTATACAGCTGTTACTATACAGTGACTTCACCTCTCCGAAACAGGATCAGTGATGAACATTATGATTGATGGACCAGATATGAAAGATTTTGACTTTCCTGAAGCTCTTCAGTATTGGAGAAAATCCAAAAATAAAATTGGAGACTGAGTGATATTGATTTTATTCTCTGACTTTTTTCCATGTTTATAAGTAAATGTATTGACAAAACATTGAAAAATTGCGCATCAAAATTGAGCAAATTGTTCTGTTGAAAATGCTCAAAACTTCTATTTCCCTGTTGGGAAATAGATGGATTATTTCAATCTGGTGATCTGTCAATGTTGATTTTGTTGATTTGTGTCTACAGGAGCAACAGACCTTGTCTATTGCCAAGGCAGGAATTATCTGCTCTCTCAATGCCAGGACATCTATCTTAGCTGCAGCAAACCCTGTTGAGTCTCAGTGGAACAAAAACAGGACCATTACAGAAAACATCCAGCTACCACATACACTGCTCTCTAGGTAGGTAAAAAGAGTCTTGGTGAACAAAAACAGGACCATTTGATTTAGAAAATGATGACTAGCACACATACACCTTTATTAGGGAAGGAATACTTTGTGTCAGAGTATTACAGAAAATATCATACTACTGTACACACTACATTGTGGTATTTTGAGTTTTGATTTTCATAGATATTCTATCGTTTTGCTAGATAAAAAACATGGACTGAATTTGTTAGAACTTGAAATATCATATTACACTTTGGATGCTTTAATAGGTAAAAATCGACCAGCTGTATAAAAAAAAATTGATGCAATACCAAGATGGTAACAAATAGGAAAAAAATGTATCATTCATATTAACTTGTTGTATACAGAGGTGCTCGTAGAAAAAAATCAGTCATCTTTACCATATCTCAAGGAAGCTTTAGTGATTTGATTCTTGAACGACTAATGTTCTCTGACTCTCGTAATAAAGCAATGTAAGATAACGGCCACAATATGACAGTAATGCTTTAGAATAATTTTTCCATTTTATTTCCGACTGGCAGATTTGACCTGATCTTCCTGATCCTTGACCCTCAGGATGAGGTATTTGATCGTCGACTGGCCAGTCATCTAGTGTCTCTCTACTTCCGGTCAGAGAAGGAGGAAGAAGAGGAGCACCTGGTAAGTAATGCTAGAAATGTGACTAAATTTCTGTATATGTGTGACAAGGTATTTGCTCACCTGGACAGGTGACAAAGTGTGAATATACATATACAGGTGTAGGAAGATGTGTTCTCTTACCCTTGAGAAGTAGATCTAATCTTTTTACCAGTTTGAGATTTCCCTGTCTTACCCTAGGGTTGAGAGAGAAGCGGGGAGATTCACAGATCAAGACAATGATATGACATTACAGTAACAATCCACTGTTATCAAGTCAAAAAGTAAATCACATTAACGATGCAAAGCATTGGGAAACAAAACCTCATACAAGTGTCTAATAGAGTGATCAGAGTAAGAGAAAAAGGATCATTCACCTCCTGGTTAGTGAGATAGGTGGATCTGAACCCGAAGTGAAAATACACCTAAGTTACACACACTTGACAAGCCTCATGTTTGGTAATTTAAATGTCTTCCCCTCGAGTTGAGAACCACCTATCTAACCTCCAAGGTGTTGGAAGATTATATCATTCAATACAAATTACGCTCTCACCTGGATAATTGTAACAAGGTGTGCATTCACCATGACAGTGTGAATACGGTTTATATTTATTTGGACATAAGAATTGTTGAAGTCAAGTTACACATCTAAAGAATTGATGAAAAGAAAATATTTCAAGTTATTTGCAAAATTTGTTTGGTGTTTATATAAGATTTTGTGTTTTAGGACATGAGTATTTTGAAAGACTACCTGACCTATGCTAAAAACTACATCAGTCCTAAGATTGGGGAGGAATCTGGCCAGACGTTGATTCAGGCCTACGTAGACATGAGAAAGGTGGGCAGTGGAAGGGGCCAAATTTCTGCCTACCCTCGTCAGCTGGAGTCATTGATAAGACTTTCTGAGGCGCATGCTAAGATGAGGTTCTCATCAATCGTGGAGACGTGTGATGTGGAGGAGGCCAAGAGGTACATCATGTTTTACCCACATTCAATAAAAATACTTTATAAACATCAACTTTTCATCATTTGATGTGTCATAGAACTCAGAACAAATTAGAAGAAATTTTCTCCTGTTTTCTGATCTTACCTAGGTAGTAAAACAGCCCACTCTGACTTTTTGCAGAGCTAAGCTTTGAATTTGGTCTTGCGTTGAAGTGTGATATGATATCTGGGCTAAAAAACTATTCATGCAAAATGCAAATGTTTGTTTGGCCATTGGTATCTAGAGTAGTTTGTGTTCATTCAAGGATAGTTCAGATGGTGAAAACTGAACATTTAAGTGATCGGTAATGTTTACTTACCCTAGAATACATAACTTATATTTCAGCTTTAATGCCAACTTGAGGGCATTTTTATCTACATCCTGTGGTGAAAACACCTAAATTGGTGAAAGATTTAAATTGCAGTGAAAGTATCCCTTTATACAAAACAAGTTCCCAATATTGTTGATGTCAACAATGGTTTTTGAAGCTATTGTAACAAAACACACAAGGTTATATAAGGTATAGATATTTGACTGTCAAGAGGAGGAAGATGAAGTTTGTAGCTTGTCATCATTTTGTTTGATAGATTATACAAGGAGGCCATGAAACAAGCAGCGATCGACCCGTCTACTGGTAAGATAGATATTACAATCCTGACCACGGGTATTAGTGGTGCTGCCCGCAAGAGGAAAGCAGAAATTACACAGGCACTAAAGAAACTAATTCAGGAGAAGGGCAAGGTCCCCTCACTCAAACACCAGAAACTGTTTGAAGATTTCAAGGAAAAATCTGACTTCGTGAGTATAAACATTACCCGCAAGTTTTAATGAGTTTCTTTGTTTCTGCCATAATTCATAAACAAGTACATATTACTGTGGAGATTTAGAAAAATATCAGGAGGGAAAAATGGCAAAAATCAAAGACCCAGCAAATGAAATCTACATGGGAAAATAATAATTATGGCTCAAAGTCTTTACAGTGTGTTTCATTAAGGATGTGAAAGTAGAAAGAACTAGTAAAAACTTCATATACATTATTTCAGTATCGTGTGCTACATGTCCTCCCGACAGCTTTTGGTTCACAGTTAAAGTACAAGTTTGAATCAGACGAGATGAGTTGTGCCATGCTACACTGTACGAAATTAGCTGTGAATTGTCTGAACACTATAAGGTTTAAACGGGATCAGTGTTTTAGAAATAGCAGTCAATGGATTTGTGCCTACCAGACAAAAGCTATAGTGTATGAATGAAAACTATTCAACCAAAATCAAGAGACAATGAAGTAGAGAGATGTATGCTACATTCAGCAATAAGCCCATACATATGTATTCTTACTTAAATTACAAACTAATACATGGTCCTGTAAAGAGTGATTTCCCGTAAAAAATATTGTCTTGGTCTCGGGGATTTAAAGATAGGTAAGATCAAGATGGAGGTTGTGCTGCTTTGTCTGCCTATTTCTTCTCTTGTATACAGCTGTCAGTGTTGTAAGTGATCTCTTTTCATTTCAGCCAATTGCAAGGGAATCATTTGATGAGGCCTTGAGAGAGCTTCAGGAGGAGGACTTCTTGATTGTCACCAACAAAGTCATCCGACTCTGTCAGTAACATGGGATACTTCAATCATCTTAAACTGGTACGACTCTCTAATAACAAGTTACTGGGATTGTCACCATTTGTAAAGACTCTGGAGTAGCAAGGAACTTAGATTGTCATCAGAAGACTGACAGGACTTTGTTAGCAATGTAGGTTACTTGGATTGTTACCAACACATCAAACTGATACAACTGTTTTATCATCACAGACATATCTGTCATTACTGTGGATTACTTGGATCATGTCTGTGATGTAGATTGCCTCGATGTAATAATGTGGGACGTCGTTGGCAAAGATAGAACGATTAGAACATTGATCAACGTTTTCCTTAGTGTGAAGTTGCTGGATGTGGAACACATGGACTGTTAATAGATGTAACTGACGAAAAACTAAATTATGCATGTGATATATTGTATATTCATAAAATTATTAAACATAACTAATTGGTGAACCAAATTGCTGTGAACTTTTCAGTGCTGGATATTCAGTTATGGAGTGCTATATTGATGACTGGGGACAATTCGGATAATGGAACTAATTATAAACAGTGTTATATATATGCGTAATGCACACCTATGTACATAGATACTGTTATTCAGGCTCTATTTGGAGACAAAATTATAATTATGGATTTTTTGATGGATGGAGAAAGTTGGTATTCTGTACCAATAATTCGCTGCTGTTTAAATTTTGTACATATTAAAGATTCAAGTCTTTTAACATCTTTTGTTTGTTGTGGTTTACATAGTAGACAGTAGATCTATTGTCTTAGTTTATTATTGTACCAATACTAATGATTGTTAATGTGTAAATGTCAGCCTTGGTCTACAGCTTAATGACGAGGCATGTAGATAAAATTATGAAAATTTGAAAGTGGACTAGAGCTGTCAACTTTTATTTTTGAAGTATGTTCACATTGTTAAAAAAAGAAGAAAAAAAAATGGGTTTAAAGAATGCTGGATATACTGTGTCTACTGCTACAAGTTGTTTGAGGGTTCCATTCTGATCTGGTACATAGTTGGTTCATATGGTTCAGTGACTGATCTGGTACATATTAGGGTCAGTTGTTTCAGTGACTGACCTTGTACATATTGGGCCAAGATGGCTTCCTGATTGATCTGGTAAATTTTGGGATCAGATGGTACAGATTGGGGTCAGATGGTTCATTGAGTGATCTGGTACATACTGGGGTCAGATGGTTCACCGACTGATCTTGTACATGCTGGGGTCAGATGGTTCAGTGACTGATCTTGTACATGCTGGGGTCAGATGGTTCAGTGACTGATACGGTGGTACATATTCGGTCAGATGGTTCACCGACTGATCTGGTACATAGGGAGTCTGATGGTCCATGACTGATCTTTAACAGATTGGGGACATTGCTAGAAATAAACAGTGGTATAGTCAAACCAATGATTTATTGATCGAGGAAGATTTCTGGTTGTTGCAGATATTTGTTATTAGTTCAGGTATCGTGAGAAATGATGGCATATATGCATAAACTTGGTGATTTAGTAACTGGAGTTATCACCCTTCTTTTAATCTTTCATGCTGATAAAATAATAAGTAGAAAATGTATATGAAGGAAGAAAAATAGAAACTGTTCTGCAAAAACTATTTTTTTTGAAAACCAGATCAGTAGAGAAAACCTTGCTCTGTTTCCTGACTTTGGTGATAAATATACTGTTTCAAGCTTTTGGTTAACCAGGAAGACTTGTACTATTGACAGTAACTTTTACAACACAATAAGATCAACATTGGAGACTGACATTACCGCTGGTATATGTAATAACAAAGTCCAATACATTGTTAACAAAAGAAGGAGAAATTTATTTAATATGAAATTTTTGGGAATCGGATATAAAAATACAAAGATTGACAAAATCAATTCAAATTCATTTGACATAGAATATGCATGCATAAAACAAAGCCTGGAAATTTGAGACAAGCAATTGGGCAGCAAGCACCTACTTTCTAGGAAAACTGACTGCCACAATCCTTGCTCAGTAAACTCCACAGACCAGTAAAATTTTACTCTGGCACTCCTGTTTATATCGTTTATTACATTTAAAGCATTTATTGCATAAATCACCTGGATTAACACGCTCACACAGCCAGAATGATGTGTGGTCTACATGGAAACCCCTCTGATGTAGTTTGGATTCACAAACATCTTATAGATACATGTATGGCATATTCTTCCCCATATAGCTCAGAACTAGACTGGCTTGTTTTTCTTTCTCGGTAGATTTTTACTTTCATCAAACCATTATATTCACATACTTGATAGCTCTTCTATCTTGCAGGGCGATTTCAACTCTGACTGCAATTTTGACACAACATAAAACAATTCTGTATTATTCATCAATATAAAAATCAATAAGTCTTGCAAATATTTTGATTGAAAGTTTCTCATAAGAACATCCATAATTATTACCCAATAGAAATTCCAAAGAAGGTGGGTAGTTTGCAGAATTACATCAGGACCTGAGCATGTATTTATCAAACTCTTTCCATTACAGGGAGAGATATCAGCTGAAAAATGTTTTCTACATCGAGATCAACCAACTTCATTTGTTTTATATTCTATGAGCTAAAAGAAGCATAAATTGGTTTGAACACACAATTACTACCTGAGGATGATAATTACCTTGGAAATAGGACTTTCCAGATCCCCAATGTCCTGGCATATTTAGCAGAATATGCCTGTGATATACTGGTGTCATGGTCTTGAACTGTGACAACACTTGGCATGTCAGGAATATCTGGCCAAATACGTAAACCTATTTTGTTGTTGTAATTTAATATCTGGTATTTTTGAAACTAGAATTGTTACAAATGTGAACAGCGTCAGCTGTATTTGGAATTATCTATTGTGAAGGTGTGCTTTATACTGGGTTTCTATTTTTATACAAGTGTTTCCTATTAAGCTGAAAAAACTTCTGTTCCATGTGGTGTATACACATATCGCCAAGTTGGAAAAACATTAAGGTATTTTGTGTCATTCAACACTTTTCACACAATATTTTTATAATTAAAATACATTGTATACAATTCAGGACATAACATTTGTTTTAAGTGAGAACATGTCCCATGTACCTACTTCAGTGGGCTTATCAACCACACTACCAGTCGACAGATTTAGGGAATGTTTTAATTGTTTCACAGGGATCGAACACAGGTATCGTGAACATCTGTAGTACATACATACATACAGACTAAAAGGTAGGGATGAATGACCAGAATCCCTGTCACATTTTGTGTAATTATGTCTCTAATGCCTTCAGCACTGTAACATTTGAAAAAGGTGAGTGTTATAGGTAAAAGTGAAGAAATAGTTTTAAAATACAGACTTAAACAGTGATTTGCATTACACAAACATACAAAAGTGAACAATTAAGAAAACCTTTAGGCTTTCAATCAAGACATAAGTTATAAAATTTTTAATCTTTTTTTACAAGGGTTCAGTTGTTGGGTCTACACATATCTTGACGGTATACCTGGTGTTTCCTGCTTGTGAAAGTCCAAAGCAAAGAATATGGCATGTTCCCAAATGAGACCTGCCTGTTTGTTTGGACAATCGAGCAGGCCTAGCATTGAACTCAACAAGTAGAGGAAAGAAGTGTACAACTTGTTCAAATAAACATCCACAATTGTAGGTTCTTTTATGCAAACATTCAACAAATGCCCCACAAATACATACAAGCATTGCTTGCAACACACACGTTTTTACTGTTTTCAGAAGGTGAGCATTGCCGTTAATTCATATAATAGTCTTACATTTGCTGTCATAACAACAAATTTAACAAACCTAGAAATAATACATTTACTGAACTCTTGGCATCACATCAACCCTCTGTTTGAACCATATGGTATTTTCCCCCGTAACTATGTACCAATGTACAGTGGTACATGTGTAATGTTCTCCCCGTAACTATGTACCAATGTACAGTGGTACATGTCTAATATTCTCCCCCTTAACTATGTACCAGTGTACAGTGGTACATGTGTAATGTTCTCCCCCGTAACTATGTAACAGTGTACAGTGGTACATGTCTAATATTCTCCCCCTTAACTATGTACCAGTGTACAGTGGTACATGTCTAATATTCTCCCCCTGAACTACGTATCAATGTACAGTGGTATATGTCTCGTATCCTTCCCTCTAACAGTGATAACAAGGATGTAAGATGTAAAAACTTTATACAGTACTACCTGCAGGCAGTGTCATGGCCGGCTGGCAGTGTACTTTTTCTTTAAGTGTCTAGTTTCCATTTCATTCACACTTGCCATACATTTCAGAAAATTAATCAACAACACAACCATTCTTATAAAGTAAGCACTTAACTTTTCTCCTCTCTGTGTGTTACTAGAACATTGCATTATAATAAATACACTTAAATGTTGAAATTATTTAAACAATTCCTATATCTGTCTTTTTATAGTCCTAAGGCAAGCAGCAGTACTATATGATCAAAATGCACAATGATCTATGAAAACCTAACTAAGTAAATCATGCTACTTTTGTTAATCAAGTTCAAACATTTCAACTTAAGCCTAAATTATCACTTCCAAATTCATAGGAATGATGAATGTTAAACAATGGATCTGTGATTAGACTTTGATACATCTTATCAAGCGTCAACCTTCAATCAATTTTCAAGTGCTTTAGGCACTAATCAAAATAAATAATGTATTGCTATTTTTGACACTAAGTAAAAATCTACTTAAATAAAACATACACATCAGGTTGGCCACAAGCTGAAGTATGAAGTGTTTTAGTTTGTCAGGCCAATATTCTGTGCCACCTGGATCAACCTAATAAATAACTGCAGCCATGATGTTAGTTCCTCGTTTGTCATAAAAACATATAAAAATAAACAAAATCACAGTGTCATGTTAGTGTAGGATATAATAACACATTTAACCTGTTACATTTCATACTAAAATGATTTATAGATAAATTCAGCAAGTACCTTGTAATTTATATTTCTAATTTGAAGTGACACTTTTATTGATGGAATTAGTTCCCAGGAGACGTGACAATAGTGTCTATACTGGGGACTGTAACACATCAACTATTACAAATAGCTGGATACATTTCCATTCTAATTATACACAGACATTCATAAAAAAAACGTTCAAATAAAACATGAAATGCTTTCATGGGTGTAATGGTAACCCAATTTTGTTCTGATCAATGTGAAGTGAACACGAAATGAACACTTGACTAGTAGTGATCTTTCAGATTCTGTAGTATAGGACAGCTGGAACAAGTATATTTTAGATAACTGACTTATAGCAATGCCATTGATTAAATCTTGTGTCTGTGATTAAGGCATGTGTAAAAAATACTCAAGTTATGACTAGGACAAGGAATAAAGGACATAATATTATGATCTTCAACATTTACCGTGACCTTTGATAGCATGCAAATAGTCATTTGAGTGTTTGCCTACAACACAGATTTAGGAAAGGTACTATTGATTCTAAGGACATTGCTACCTATATACCCCCAGTAGATTTATATGGTAAAGGTTTGTCCATGCTTTCCTTGTTAAAATTATCAAGAATGTCATAATCTGATGAGGATTATTTTTAAAATGCAATAATCATAACATAACAGCGGGGCACCAGTTTGATATAAGATAGACTTACCATACATAAGAAGTGCTTATTGAAAAAAAAACTTTTTACATGTATGGATACTCCATAATCATACAATATTTTTCATAGAACAAAAAAACTAAGTATCATACCTGGTTGATCAATTATTATTTGATAAAATAAAATGGCATATCAGTTAAAAGAAGAATTGTAAAAAATTCTTGAAACAATATCTTTAGTTTATATTCTGATATTATGGACATGAAAAATATCAAAATTAATTTAAAAAAAAAAAAAAAAAATGCCAGGCAGGGTGCAGACAGAATTCTGATATGTAGGTCATGCAAGACTTGCAGCATCTATTGAATCAAACTTCAGACAAAGCAAATAAAGTATAATACTTCTGTCATTTATCCACATCAATAAAACTGTCAATACAATATTGTCCTGGTTAACACTTTAATAATAAACATAAAGAACATCATCATCATTCAACTCACACTCAACAATTAACTCAAGGGTCAACTCCTTGATAAAGAATAACATTAAAAACAGGTGTCAAATAACATTATCACAGTTTTATCAACAGCCATTATGGATTTATTATGTTCAATTATATCTTAAATTATTATATATTAATTCAGCCTTCAAGTATGTACAATTATAAATTAAAACTTAAAGATTTCTTATATTGCAATCACATGTTATCTAACAAATCATTTTCTTGGGCAATATTAGCACTTTATGTATTTCTGTGATTGTATATACACATGATATATAATTTGCACAATGTTTATTCAGGCTAATGATAAATTCAAAATAGTATAAGAGGGAAAAAAAATCATTTTTTCTTTTTTTTAAAACCCAACATTTTTAAGGGACAAAACTATAAATCAATGATAATATGAAAAATACTACAGAGAAGTCAAATCAAGCAGTCCCCTATCTATGTTTCTGATATGTGGTTGATGATATCATATCATTGGATATTTCCAAAAGATTTTATAATGTAACAGATATGTTTCATGAACTACTTCCCTTAGTTTTACCCAGGGGGAGAGCCCTGCAATTGGTCCACCTTAGTGATGCACACTGTGATCCTAAAGTTGTGGCCAATTCCCAAAAATGTCTCCTTGAAATTGATGTTTGCAGAAAATCCTTTTTGATGTCTTTTTTTTGTTTACTATTTTAATTTGTGTTTATCTTTTTGATATCTAAATTCATCAAATTAGATACCAGGATATGATAACAATGTTACTGTAAACTTTAACACATTACCACAGCTTACATTGGTATAACTAGTATTAACATCAGATATTAACCCATGGGTATAGCCCTTCACAGACAAATACGGAAGCTCATGGGTATATCCCTTCATAGACAAATATGGTAGCTCATGGGTATATCCCTTCATAGACAAATATGGTAGCTCATGGGTATATCCCTTCACAGACAAATATGGTAGCCCATGGGTATATCCATTTACAGACAAATACCATAACATTTGGGTTTAACCCTTTACAATAAGGAACCCCTAGGATTTTCCCGTGTTACACACTGTACACTTGTTTGTAATACTGTATAATAAGATATTTTTGTGGGGATCAATTTTTGTGGTTTTTCAAAAGAAATTTTATTTTGTTGACACATGGTTTCTTGAATTTGAATCAAAATATCTACTTATTTTCACGTTAACAATATGTGAACAAGAATTCATGGACTAAGAGTACTTGTGAAATCAACAGAAATAAATCGCCCACGAAAATTAATGATTTTACAATACTTTTTCTAGACTATGGGATCATTTTCAATAAACCCTGTGTTAATTTCTTGTCTTTAAACAAACAGTCAACAAGAATATTTTTCAATACAAAAACTGAATAAACCCATATGCACAACATCAAAAAAACCCCTAAGTGTTTGTCTACAGATAACTAACAGAATATCACACATAGACTTCGCTAAAGATAAACAACCCTAGGACAAAAACGTTTTTTTCTAATCAAAACATTTTAACCAGTAATTTGTATAAGGTTTCAAAACACACATGGCATATCGATGTAACATAACATTAACAATCAACAAAAAGTTAACATAGCTCACCAACAGGTCTCCTGTCATTATAGGCAGATTATGTTACAGTACAGTGATCATGTAATAAAAAGTCTTCATGTGCTATATTTGGCACAAATGTGTACATAACACATTTGACGTAACACTTAGGTGCATAGTAGGTATTTATACAGTGGAATGGAAGGAAGACTTGGAATAGCTCCCTGTTAAGTGAGGTGTCCGGATTTCAGGCGCCGATCTTCAGGATCCTGACCTCGTGACTTTTCTGGTAATCCTGAAAACGATGAATTTTTGGTGCGGTTTTGGGTGACACCTCTTGAGAGGACTTGTTGTTGTAGTGTGGCAGATAATAACTAGCTTCATTTCATGATGACATGTGGATAACAATAGGATGAATGATGTCTGTGTTGCTGTGACGTCTGGCACACAGCCACTGTACCAGGATGATGGAAAGGTGATACAGGAACACCTATGTATGATGAGGTATGTGTATGATGAATAAGTATGTACAGTTCATATGTCCTCAATCTTTAAATGCTCTATCTTCACTATACCTCTCTTTGAACCAGCTCTGAATTTAGCTAAGTCTTTCCGTGTCACCATTCCAATGGCCTAAAATAAATAAGAATTTACATTAAAACCAGACATCAATCATCTAAATATGACAGTGTCATTAACGAGGGTTTCTCTACTCTTTACATGTTATTTGATTTGAAATAAAAACTGAACAGTTTAAGATTTCTTCATGAATCACTGTGGAGGTACAACAGTGAATATGTAGTATACTAGAGTTTGGAGTTCAAATTAACCATCCTGACCTACATTCTCAAAAAAATATACAAGTCCTTCATATTTTGAAAGCAGTGCTTTAAAATTTGATAGGAGAATCATATACTGTACCTGGTTCTTTTCATTTACAACAATTAAATGCCTCAGACCAAGTCCACGGAATAATTTGAATACTCGTGGCAGTGAAAATGTCTGAAAAAGCAAAATTAAACATTTAGAACAGAACTTTGACAAAATCATTCTACCATTCAATTAATCTGAATTGAAAACTTCAGTTAACTCTACAATATGTATTTTATTACAGCTACTGATTTATAGGGTTACAGATGATATGGTATTGGTGTATGGTGATTCTACAGTATAAAGACATTGTGTTACAAATTCTATATATTTGTATGTAGTGTTACATGCCTATTCACTGGCTACAGATTCTATGGTACTGGTATATGGTGTCACAGATTCTATGGTTTGCGTTATATAGTGATACTTACAGATTCTATGGTACTGGTATATGGTGTCACAGATTCTATGGTTTGCGTTATATAGTGATACTTACAGATTCTATGGTACTGGTATATGGTGTCACAGATTCTATGGTTTGCGTTATATGCTGATACTTACAGATTCTATGGTACTGGTATATGGTGTCACAGATTCTATGGTACTGGTATATGGTGTTACAGATTCTATGGTACTGGTATATGGTGTTACAGATTCTATGGTACTGGTATATGGTGTCACAGATTCTATGGTTTGCGGATTCTATGGTACTGGTATATGGTGTCACAGATTCTATGGTACTGGTATATGGTGTCACAGATTCTATGGTACTGGTATATGGTGTCACAGATTCTATGGTACTGGTATATGGTGTCACAGATTCTATGGTACTGGTATATGGTGTCACAGATTCTATGGTACTGGTATATGGTGTCACAGATTCTATGGTACTGTTATATGGTGTCACAGATTCTATGGTACTGGTATATGGTGTCACAGATTCTATGGTACTGGTATATGGTGTCACAGATTCTATGGTACTGGTATATGGTGTCACAGATTCTATGGTACTGGTATATGTGTACTGGTATATGGTGTCACAGATTCTATGGTACTGGTATATGGTGTCACAGATTCTATGGTACTGGTATATGGTGTCACAGATTCTATGGTACTGGTATATGGTGTCACAGATTCTATGGTACTGGTATATGGTGTCACAGATTCTATGGTACTGGTATATGGTGTCACAGATTCTATGGTTTGTGTTATATAGTGATACTTACAGATTCTATGGTTTGTGTCATATAGTGGTATATGGTGTTACAGATTCTATGGTATGGTTTGTGTCATATAGTGGTACTTACAGATTCTATGGTTTGTGTTATATGGTGGTCCTTACAGATTCTATGGTAATGGTATATGGTAGCACAGATTCTATGGTACTGGTATATGGTGTCACAGATTCTATGGTACTGGTATATGGTGTCACAGATTCTATGGTTTGTGTTATATAGTGATACTTACAGATTCTATGGTTTGTGTCATATAGTGGTACTTACAGATTCTATGGTTTGTGTCATATAGTGGTACTTACAGATTCTATGGTTTGTGTTATATGGTGGTCCTTACAGATTCTATGGTAATGGTATATGGTAGCACTTACAGATTCTACGGTTTGTGTTATATGGTGATACTTACAGATTCTATGGTTTGTGTCATATAGTGGTACTTACAGATTCTATGGTATATGGTGATACTTACAGATTCTATGGTATATGGTGATACTTACAGATTCTATGGTATATGGTGATACTTACAGATTCTATGGTATATGGTGATACTTACAGATTCTATGGTATATGGTGATGGATTCATGTAAGGCCGTAAGTCCATGATGTATTCTCTTTCCTCTTCCTCTATTTCTATTTCCTAGAAAACAATATGTAAGTTTTAATTATCACAACGTATTCATAATGTACATATGCCCTTATGTATCTCTAAATCTTAAAATTCAATGGTCGAGGAAGTCAGTTGGCATGCTGAATGTGTGACTAAAGTATTTAAATCCCCTGCCCAAAATGAAGTGGGTGGACTTTTGTTTTCTTTTTCTATTACAAGGTTCTTACAGTGTGAGAAAACCATAGTACCCAATAAAACCACACGATGGAGAAAGTAACCCCTATATTATTTCATGGCCACTTGGTGAATCAAATCCTGAATGTCTAGGTGAAAGGCAAAAGTATTATCACTGCACCACCAAACCATCTATTTTGTTCCTCAATGAGAGGATGTTTAATACTAAGGCCAAAATGACTTACAAGTAATGGTAATGTGTTGGAATAGATACTATGAGATAGTTAAGTAAATCAAATACAGATCCCAAATATAGCTATAACTGAAGCAGATCTATATGAAAAATGTTAATTCAACTTACATGAACTTGGAGGTATACTGGATAAAAATTTCTGAAATCTTTCAAGCGTATACCTCTAGGTTGTGGAGTACCTGCTGGGCTAAATATCTGAAAAAGAAAATGATTTCAATGTATGTTGTCCTGGTTTGTCAATGAGAAATGTCTACTTCATTCTGAGGTAACGTTATACATATATAGCAAACTTCCTAACAGATTTCTTACATCATTTACATTTAACCATTAAACTGTCTTTTTTACGGAATTTATGACCATTATAATTGCCAGCATGCAATCTAGGCGTTTTCCTTCAAATGTCTTACCTTTTTTTTGAGAAGTACTAAAATTTGTGATCTTAATATAAGACCCTTCAGTTTGCCTTTTCCTGGGAACTGAAAGAAAAAAAAGGACACATTTTTAATATTGATAAAACAATTTACACTGATCTCATACAATACTAGTACGTGAACCGTGTATATAACAGCACTATTTAGTAAGATTTAGATGCTATATTGCCAGAATTTAAGTTTTATAAAGTACATTATTTATTTTTACCATATATTACTGAAAGCAACCCCTTCCCTCATGAAAATATATTGACCAAAAGTAGAGAATAGACTGATTTGAAAGTATTCCCCTGTTCATTAGGTCTGTTGTAACGTTGTCCTACCTTACTTTGACTGTAGATGTCTATGTCTTTTAGATTTATAACTATTAATTGACAATTCATTCCTGTTTATGATATTATGATGTTATTATCTACTATATCAACCCAATGGAAGTGATAGCAACTATAAAATAGACTATGGTAAATCTCTGGTCAGTTTGTGTATGCAGGTAGTTCAAGTTCAAGTACGTGACTTTTTTAAAATAGAAACTATAAATTTCTGTCATGTGATAATTCAAACCCTTTCTTGTTTCACTTACAATTTGAATTTTAAATAAACATGTCTTGTGGTACAGTAAGTGTTTCAAAAGATGATTATACAATAATCAACATATCGTTATTAGAAAATAACATTAACGATTGGTTGTTTCCTGCCTTGCTAGGACATTTTAAACAATCCATCATGGTTTTCGGTAATGCCAACTCTGAAAGTTTGAACTCTAAGCTACTTTCACAAGCATAATTCAAACAGGTTCAACAATACTTCTTTGATTTTGTTGGGACTGACGGAAGGTTGATCATATTGTGTTAACAATTCTGTAGGTTATATACTGACCATTGGATCGTCATCCACCACAGGGAAGCCACAGCAACACTCAGCCTTGAGTACATCCAGTATATGGCCGACTTTCTCTTTAGGCTTGAAAGATGTAAGCGGCTGACTCATCACCTCACTGTACATAAAGACATGACTAACATCAATATAACAACATCACACCCTGATCATTGTTGTTATTGGCTACTGATGGGGGAATAAAAACAATAACTAGAGCAATGCTACAATGATAAATCATGAAACAGTTCATAGATAACAATAAAGTCAATTAAAATTATGCCTTATATGGTCAATAAACTATATAAACCCACAAAAATTCTAAAACTCATTAGCAGGGGTATAAACTGCTCACCTGGCCCTGAGGTCATCAAAAAGGGGTGGAGGTTCACAAGGTAGTGGGGAGTATATAATACTGGTCCTGAGGTTGTCACAGAGGGGTGGAGGTTCATAAGGTAGGGAGGAGTATATATTACTTACCTTGCCCTGAGGTCATCACAGAGGGGTGGAGGTTCACAAGGTAGGGAGGAGTATATATTACTTACCTTGCCCTGAGGTCGTCACAAAGGGGTTGAGGTTCATAAGGTAGGGAGTAGTATATATTACTTACCTTGCCCTGAGGTCGTCACAGAGGGGTGGAGGTTCACAAGGTAGCAGTGGTATGCCACTCACTTCTACATTCATATCGTACAGACCCTGTCAACACAAAACATTCACAAGACCATGCACAATTTCATTGACCATCTTAAGCCCTCATCGGGATTTAGACCTCGTATCACATTGCTAATTTATGTGGTGATTATATTGAAGTTGTCTATTTCTCTAAATATTGTTTTTTTCCTTGGCATTCATGTAACAATTTCAGTCAGAAAACCAATAAGTAAACATTTATTTATTACGGAGAAATGCATTAAAACATTGCACATTTAGTGGCTACCTTAACTGTGTGTAGTGTAATACCTTACCGTGGTAATGAAATCCCCGACCCACTTGGATATCATCAGTACAATCATGATGGGCAATCCAAATGATATGTCTCCTGTACATTCCACTATGATGACTGTGAGACTGATGGTTGTCCGTAAGATACCACCTAGCTGACTAGCTGCACCTATCAATGCATACTTCCCCACATCCATTTGCTGTAAAATTATTTATGCTTTGTATTAACAAGTGATCTTCCAAATTAATTTATGGGGTATGGGTAATACTGTACTAAAGATTGTGAAACAAAATATCTCAATTAAAAAGCTGTAATCACACAAGTTATATTTGATGACAACAAAAACAATACCTTCTTCTTCAGAATATCTAATAATTACCACCAGGGACGTCCCTGTTACCACTAAATAATAGTTCAACTTCAAAATGTTCCAAAACATCCCCTCTTTAGTAACCTTATAGCACTATAGCTACAAGAAAATACTGAGTGTCTTCAAAAAAGCTTCAAAGCCTCAAAACTAAATGTCTAGAAGACACACCATATTTATTTTGGACAACTGAATAGACACCCTTTGGTACTAAAAAGCTGTCAATAAACAAGTCTGTAATTTCTGCATGTTTTCTCTGCAGAGTTTAAGAATATAAAGAAAAAAATATATGTCAAAAGTTGTAAGAGTTGTCTTCCCTTGTCCTGTAGCTGAATGCAATATTTCTGTGGTGGGTGACAAAGTCTAATGTATGTTCCTACTGGTGCAAGGACATTAAAAGTATACCAACATGCTAGATAAAATCAATCTTTATATAGAATTTGGAACAAGAGGTGAATTAGCAAGAACCAGGTATCCTCTCTGATAAAATTCTACATGCATTGTGACAAAGCATTGATTTATTGTAAAGTCTATGTAACTTTTATGATAAATACATCTGTAATGTATAAAAACATTATTTTGTTTTATATAAATGTGATAACTGATTTGCACTATGCAAGTAGAGGGTATTACAAGATGTACTGTAGCTAGGGTGTGTTGTACTGATGTACCTACACACACACAGGTGACTGTTAAGTGTGTACTGTAGACTGCTACACTGTGTAGTGCTCCAGTATCAGGTTACATAAGGTCTCCAGTCACTACTATACATGTATACACACATGCTCCATCATCTGTCTCATCATCTAGTGTTATCAGTCCAGTCATGCAATATTTATTTCAGCGTTTATGTTTGTCTAATTTTTTTATGATACCTTATTGCTCTATAGTAATTATAAAAAATGTTTATCAAGTTTTAGTTGCATATGTTCTTCTTTCAAATAAAAAATACAGAATCACAACTTATATCAGACGACTTAAGATATTTTGAAAAAAGCAAAATCTCTTAAGAGAGACAAACTTACAAAATTGTATCAGACACAAAATTTCAATATTTCTATAACACAAAGTAAATTGAATTCTACAATTGTTATCAGAGTCAGGTTATCTCCCCTATACCAGTACATGCGTAATTAAAGATCCCACCACGGGCAATGTGATAATAGACAAGCTCATACAACTCTTACTAAAATCTCTTATATAAATATGAATTATAAAGTTCCCATTAAACTAAACAATTATCAAACACCCTGTAAGTCCAACTATAAATATTGATTTTAGACTTGTTTGGCTATGTATGTTAGTGACACAACACAATACACCAAAGTTATTTCTGCTCACAATATAGATACACTGAATATAGTTTTCTAACACAACCAAAAAGTACTGTCAGAGACAGGGCTCCCCGATTGGGACAAAATTTAAAAAATAACAAAGGGCAATAATAAGGAGTTATGCTTCTTGTGCACTGCACTCCTTATTGTTGAGATCTATCTACGTATGGAGTTTCATGTTGATACCTCTTATAGTTTTAGTGTAATGCTCCAAACAAAATTTCAGTATGAAAAATAAGAAAGGACATTAACTACTAAATTATGCCAAAGAGAGTGGTGTTTCAGGTGCACTGCACTTCACTTCTTGGTGAGATCTATCTACCTATGATGTTTTCTGTTGATACCTCTTATAGTTTTTGTGATTATGCTCCAGACAAAATTATGACAGACCGACAAAGTAATCACTATATGCTTTCCCTTTGGGCAAATCTATATGAGTGTGAAAGCATTTTCTGCTTAGGGAGTTTAATAAATTTATAAATTGATGTTGTGTGTATTACTGATCTAGCACTGTATTGTATACATTTTTGAACACAACTGTATTGTTATATATTGTAAAAAGAAACATCTGTACAAAGTTTTTTATAACTTATGTAATTCAGATTTCAGATCAAGGGTTTATTTTTACCAGCACAAATAACCAGTGAAGAGAAAGTGATTAAAATGAAAAAAAAAAAAAAATCATTTTGAGGTAATATCAAACATTTGTGTTTTAGTTTAGATAATTCTTCTTTAATAACTTTATTTTTCCTCTAACAAGTAACTCTTCTGAACAATATAAAACATCAGTACAACATTGAGACAACATGGCACCTTCAAATCAATCAAAGTTTAAATAACCTATTTGGAATGAATGTAATTAAATTATATCACAAAAGTGTATAATTAACAAACAAATTAATAAAATCAATCAAAAGAAGAGTGAATACAACACAATGTATTTAGTACAATACTTTTATATAAGGAGGGCAATGCTGTAGTCAGACTGTATGTGATGTCACAGTATTACTTATCTTTATCCTAGATATACTGAGGGATGTGATGTCACAGTATTACTTATCTTTATCCTAGATATACTGAGGGATGTGATGTCACAGTATTACTTATCTTTATCCTAGATATACCGAGGGATGTGATGTCACAGTATTACTTATCTTTATGATGTGATGTCACAGTATTACTTATCTTTATCCTAGATACACTGAGGGATGTGATGTCACAGTATTACTTATCTTTATCCTAGATACACAGAGTGATGTGATGTCACAGTATTACTTATCTTTATCCTAGATACACAGAGTGATGTGATGTCACAGTATTACTTATCTTTATCCTAGATACACAGAGTGATGTGATGTCACAGTATTACTTATCTTTATCCTAGATACACAGAGGGATGTGATGTCACAGTATTACTTATTTTTATCCTAGACACACAGAGTGATGTGATGTCACAGTATTATCCTAGATACACTGAGGGATGTGATGTCACAGTATTACTTATCTTTATCCTAGATACACAGAGTGATGTGATGTCACAGTATTACTTATCTTTATCCTAGATACACAGAGTGATGTGATGTCACAGTATTACTTATCTTTATCCTAGATACACAGAGGGATGTGATGTCACAGTATTACTTATCTTTATCCTAGATACACAGAGTGATGTGATGTCACAGTATTACTTATCTTTATCCTAGATACACAGAGTGATGTGATGTCACAGTATTATCCTAGATACACAGAGTGATGTGATGTCACAGTATTACTTATTTTTATCCTAGATACACAGAGGGATGTGATGTCACAGTATTACTTATCTTTATCCTAGATACACAGAGGGATGTGATGTCACAGTATTACTTATCTTTATCCTAGATACACAGAGTGATGTGATGTCACAGTATTACTTATCTTTATCCTAGATACACAGAGTGATGTGATGTCACAGTATTACTTATCTTTATCCTAGATACACAGAGGGATGTGATGTCACAGTATTACTTATCTTTATCCTAGATACACAGAGGGATGTGATGTCACAGTATTACTTATCTTTATCCTAGATACACAGAGGGATGTGATGTCACAGTATTACTTATCTTTATCCTAGACACACAGAGGGATGTGATGTCACAGTATTACTTATCTTTATCCTAGATATACTGAGGGATGTGATGTCACAGTATTACTTATCTTTATCCTAGATACACAGAGGGATGTGATGTCACAGTATTACTTATCTTTATCCTAGACACACAGAGGGATGTGATGTCACAGTATTATCCTAGATACACTGAGGGATGTGATGTCACAGTATTACTTATCTTTATCCTAGACACACAGAGGGATGTGATGTCACAGTATTATCCTAGATACACTGAGGGATGTGATGTCACAGTATTACTTATCTTTATCCTAGATACACAGAGGGATGTGATGTCACAGTATTATCCTAGATATACTGAGGGATGTGATGTCATCACAGTATTACTTATCTTTATCCTAGATACACTGAGGGATGTGATGTCACAGTATTACATATCTTTATCCTAGATATACTGAGGGATGTGATGTCACAGTATTACATATCTTTATCCTAGATATACTGAGGGATGTGATGTCATCACAGTATTACTTATCTTTATCCTAGATACACTGAGGGATGTGATGTCACAGTATTACATATCTTTATCCTAGATACACAGAGGGATGTGATGTCACAGTATTACATATCTTTATCCTAGATATACTGAGGGATGTGATGTCATAGTTAGCTCCCCTATTATTAAACTGATCAGTTGACTTACTGTGTATCTATATATCCCTATTATAAAATATTTGAATATAATAATCTAGTTAATGCAACTGTTTCTGGTTAGAACTCAATTAGAATGGTAATTAATATAGACCTGTTGAATTATAAAATCACTTCAGAGAGGATATCAGTAAGATGTTTAATCATTTAATTATTTAGATGTAAAATAACAACTAGACAAAAAGAAATAAAATAGACAACGTCAAAAGAGGAATGCTTGGATACAGAAGAAACTTAAAAAAAAAAATTTTTTTTGGAATATTTAGCGTTTATAAACAGAAACAATAGTTGATGAATATCTCTGATAATAAAGAAAGAAGTAGCTTTGTATTAGGATATCAGTAAAATGTACCCTAGAAACATACAGGTGAAACATAAAGCTGGCTCCTATCTCCAGCACTTCTGTCTAGAACACCTGACAGTTCAGCTGCTCTGTAGTGTAGTTAATTCCCATCATCATTCAGAAGTTATCTGCCCATATCATTGAATTTGTCAACAGCCAATAAGTACAAGGAAGCATACATATATATTACACTACATTACACTACATTATACTAGTCATGTACCATGATGTGACTTTAACCTTTGGTCTCTTCTTGTTTAATTATGATCCACTCTGTCATTGACCTTTGGAACCAAAGATAAAACCCTGACTTTTTGTTTCATTCTGACCAACTTTATTTCATGATGAAATAATGTTCACAAGTTCAATAATACATTATTTGGCCTTGCCCTTGGTCCTTCTAACCTTGACCTCTTTCACTCAGTGATCTTGACCTTTGGTCAGTTGATTCCTTGTTTAATCAAAACTGTTTATTTCAAAAGTCATAATAATCACAAAATAATCATCAGTGAATGGATACAAAGTTTGACATTGACCTTTGGACCCAATGACCTTGACCTCTGATATTCTTATTTCATTGAACTAAATATCCTGACCAAATTTCATGTATATCAGTAGGAACTGAATTTGTGAATAGTGATTACTATAGGGTACCTGTATCTTCTATACCAGGCCCTGAGTAGTTTTATCCTTCCTAACAATTTGTACATAGTGATTACTATAGGGTACCTGTATCTTCTATACCAGGCCCTGAGTAGTTTTATCCTTCCTAACAATTTGTACATAGTGATTACTATAGGGTACCTGTATCTTCTATACCAGGCCCTGAGTAGTTTTATCCTTCCTAACAATTTGTGCATAGTGATTGCTATAGGGTACCTGTATCTTCTATACCAGGCCCTGAGTAGTTTTATCCTTCCAAACAAAGCCCTGAAGGTACACTGTAATGTACTTTAAATTTCCACAACGTCAGTTTCATTTTTACTTACTGTTGTCAATTTATTTCCCTAGTCAAAAGTTTTTAGTGACTTTTGTGCTAAGTGATAATGATAGCATTGTGATAATGTAACATCTTCAGTATATCTTTTAAACATAAAACTTTTTCTTAAGAGGATTTTTTTTAGTTATAAACTTTTGTTGTCTGAGGGTTTAAAACTGTAAATAGCAGTATTTGCAGTTTGACACAACCAGGAAGTAGTGATAGCATAAGTGTCCATTACAAGGTAAGATAAACTTAATTACAATAAAACAGTTTTAGAATTTTTAATAACCTGTTCAATATTTTGCAGTAAGTAATTCAAGAAATAGTGAAAATTATAGTGAAAAGCTAAAGCAAACACAAACAGCAAACAGAATTAAGAAAGCAGATGAGAAGACAAATAATATGCACTAGGAACGATTCAATCAACAACCAATTACATGGAAGTCTACCTGCCTTATTCAAAGACACCTGTTTAAATGAAGAGATATACTTAATGTTACAACATGCCCCTACTTCTTCTGTTGAGATTAACAAAGCTGTCTGTTATACCTATCTAATGTTTCTCAACTTTACAAATCTAACAGAAGAGGGTGCCTGGAGAGTTTGTCAAACACTTGTCACATTTTACAACTAAGTAGTTCTAGTTGATGATTTTCTCTTCTACATATCATACCTGCTGCTTTTTGACAATTAATATCAAATGATTTGTATTTTTCATGATTTTATTGAACAATGCCTAATACAAGAGTTAAGCAGACGATGAGTCATCTCAATATAACACGTAAAATATTTCACTCCGGCTATGAAGTATTTTTCCTCCTCTTTATGCGAGAACTGTCAATCGCAAGGCTCCTAAAAGTTTGGAAAGGTAATAGTTTTAAAATATACCATCCTCAGGTTGTGATAATGATATACACTAGCTGAAGTGTAAGCTTGACAACTTTTACAGAATATCTATATCTGATTTATCTGCCATGAAAGAGGTTAGATAAAACTGTATACTGACCAGGTGAGTGTTGTCAGGGAACATGTGTACCACACCAATCCCAACAAGTCGTCCCCAGGCAGCTCCAATGGCCAGGGAGGGGATGAAGACTCCGCTGGACACACTCAGGCCATACGTCCACACACCAAGGAAAAAAAACACGACAGTGAACACGATCAGACTCACAGGACCATGGGCATCTGTAAACACAATCACAGAAATACATCAAATGCTTAAGGCTCTAAATGGTTTTGGGTAAAAGGATATTTATAAAACCAGAAAAAAATTCATTATTAGAAATTCATTATCTACTACATATATATCTTTTTAACTGTAATGATGTATAGTTATCTCCCCTTCACATACAGGTTTTTGTCACTACCACAGATCATATACAGAGCCCACTGGATCACCATTTGATTATGACTTCCCTAATAAGCATAGAGTCCTTTAACATGTTCAATTGATCATGATTGTCCTGATTTACATACATGATCATGAGTGTACTAATTTACATATCTGATCATGATTGTCCTAATTTACATACATGATCATGACTGTCCTAATTTACATATCTGATCATGATTGTCCTAATTTACATACATGATCATGACTGTCCTAATTTACATACATGATCATGATTGTCCTAATTTACATACATGATCATGATTGTCCTAATTTACATACATGATCATGATTGTCCTGATTTACATACATGATCATGATTGTCCTGATTTACATACATGATCATGATTGTCCTAATTTACATACATGATCATGATTGTCCTAATTTACATACATGATCATGATTGTCCTGATTTACATACATGATCATGATTGTCCTAATTTACATATCTGATCATGACTGTCCTAATTTACATATCTGATCATGACTGTCCTAATTTACATACATGATCATGATTGTCCTAATTTACATACATGATCATGACTGTCCTAATTTACATATCTGATCATGACTGTCCTAATTTACATATCTGATCATGACTATCCTGATTTACATACATGATCATGATTGTCCTGATTTACATATATGATCATGATTGTCCTAATTTACATACATGATCATGATTGTCCTAATTTACATACATGATCATGATTGTCCTAATTTACATATCTGATCATAATTGTCCTGATTTACGTATTGTAATTGTCCTGATTTACGTATTGTAATTGTCCTGATGTACATATGTGATCATGATTGGATTTATTTACCTATTACAAGGTTACATATTATTATCCATAAAATCAGTTGACTGTGATAAGAGAATTGTTAGCTAACCTTTCTTCCCTAAAAGGAAGAAGTACGCATTGGATATCATTTACAACTACTCTGTTACCATCCTTTTATTTCTTTAACAATCCACAAAAATCACTAAACCCTCATATACTATCAGCAGTATTTCTGGCTGTAACGTACCAAAAGGATCATGGAGAAGAGCCTTGAGACAACCTTCTGGAGTGGTGAGGAATAGTAATGACATACTGTTGTACTTTCCGTCCTCACAATGTAACTGAAAACAGAATAACATCTCACTGAAACTAAAACAAACATTGCCTGGAATATGTCTGAATGTCATTAGTAGTAAGGGAGCAGACAGGTAATTTTTTTCTTTTGACTCTATTTTTGGTATTTATGATGACCTAATACATTGAATGTACTGTAATATAGACTTTATGGTGTATCATATTGCCTGTGATGACAAATATTGACTATGACGTCATATACTGCCTGTGATCACCATTATTGCCTGCCCCTGATGACCTAGATATATAAAGCCTGATATAACCTATTAAAATCTGTTACCTGTAACTGAACATGATTGGGGTATCTCAGTCAAGGGCTGAGATCCTGTAACATAATCCCAACCGAGGCATTAGCCAAGGTTAGGATGTTACAGGATCTAAGCCCAAGAAAATACAAACAACACATTTTACAGTGAAGATCTTTCTTATCTAAAACATCAGGAATATGATTGATTAAAAAGAATATCGTTGAAATTCTGATGACATAACCTACGTTTTTGTTGAAATGCAAGAGTATAGGTACCACCTACATGTGGATAATGCATCAATGCATAAAAAAATCCGCAAAAACGCATGTATGGGTACTAAACAGATCGGAGAGACAGAAAAATCTAGGATGGGGTATTATGTGGGATATGCCTCTCTGAGATTCAAGAATATATAGTCTGACAATCTACATTGTCTGTAATGACCTTTATAATAAGTCTTATGATCTATATTGCCTGTAATGAACTATTTAATAAGACTAATGACCTATATTGCCTGTGAAGACTTATATACCCAGACTGATGACCTATATTGCATGTGAGGACCTTTAGTATCTGTGATGACTCACATCTCTAGACTGATGATGGACGTTGCATGTAATTACCTATATCCTAGACTGATGACCTCTATTGCCTGTGATGACCTATATGCCCAGACTGGTGACCTATATTCCCAGATTGATGATCTCCAGATTGATGATATACATTCCCTGTGATGACATATATTCCATGACTGATGACCTATATTGCCTGTGATGACCTATATTGCATATGATGACCTATTTTGTCTGTGATGACCTATATGCCCAGATTGATGATATACATTCCCTGTGATGACATATATTCCATGACTGATGACCTATATTGCCTGTGATGACCTTATATTGCATGTGATGACCTATTTTGCCTGTGATGACATATATGCCCAGATTGATGACCTCCAGATTGATGATATACATTCCCTGTGATGACATATATTCCATGACTGATGACCTATATTGCCTGTGATGACCTATATTGCATGTGATGATCTATTTTGTCTGTGATGACCTAAATGCCAAGACTAATGACCTATATTGCTTGTAATGACCTATAGTGTCTGTCATGATTTACATCCCTAGACAGATGACAGACATTGCATGTGATAACCTATATCCTAGACTGATGATCTATATTGGTTGTGATGACCTCTATGCCCAGATTGATGACCTATATTGCCTGTGATGACCTAAATTTCCTGTGATGATCTATATTGCATGTGATGACCTATATTTTGAACTATTAAAAGTTAATATGTAAGTTAAATTAAACTATCCAAAACTGTATTCTACTAGACATAAGTCAGACATGTTGTCCAGAAGCCAGAACATACTTTATGTTAATAATCTATCACACATGTCCAGTATACATTCGCTCCCGGGTTAATTACATAAGCTTACCAATACCGTCTAGCAGGACAGGTCAGCAAAACCTTAGCTTGTCGTAAACCACCTAATCTACCACTATGTGTGTGCATTAGACCATGTAAATAACTCATGTATTATCCACTTCTTGTTAGCAAATATGTAATATTAGATATCAATGTCTACAAATTTTAGTATAAATACGACTAGGTTTCTAGCCAGTCGTCGAATCGGTTCCTGAAGGCATGCGAGTGTACCACCTCTCCATGTCTACACACAATAAATTTACATCAACCTGAACAGCGTTTGGATTTCTTCATCTCCACTCAACACTGCACCACTCTTCATTCTCAACAAAGAAGTTCACCCACTACACTTTATCGGACACCACATCACTTTATTGGTCCCGTGACTTCACTTTAATTTCCTGTGATGACCTATATTGCATGTGATGACCTATATTTCCTGTGATGACCTCTATGCCCAGATTGATGTTGCCCAGATTGATGGCCTAAATTTCCTGTGATGACCTATATGCACAGACTGATGACCTACCTTTGAGGTTATTGCATGATCATCATATGGGTTAACAGATGTACATTCATTGGTTGCATACATCAACAAAAATCCTATGACTGCTGACACCATGGCGACCACTCCTGCTTCTATAACCTTGATCCATTTCTTTCGCATATATCTATAAAGTACACACAACTTACGATCAAAATCATTATACATTAATAACTGCTTTCATACCCCTGCAATCTCTCATCTCATATCAAACAGGAAACTTAGTTCCTTTGTCACATAGGTAATTTTCTTCTTTATTTGTCTACTGAAAAGTGCTCTTTAATTTCTTCATTAGTGATATATTGTAAAGGAATAAAGACAAAAAGATTTCAGTAATGAATGTTTTACATAAATACACTATAAGCTTCTGTATGTGCATTACTTACTTTTGTCTAAATACTGTTAATTTGTAGTTGAGCACAACAAAAGCAGCCCCTATAAGTCCCCCTGTAAATAGACTTGTTTTAGACAAAGCTGCCTGACAGGTAAAAACATCATTACACACAATCAAATTAGCAAATCATCCTACAGCAAACTAACAGCCACATTTCTGTCAATGACTCTTAAGTGGCAAAGTAATAGTCATCCATGCTGCATAATAGATTTCTCAAGGTTACTTCTCTGAGAAATATTGAAGGAGAATAAGATTGATTCAGGAATGGTCCTCCAATGATATTAACCACAAAAATAATAGGGTATTTGGTGAATGCATTGTGGTGTTAGACTACATGCAGTTGAAAGCACTATATTACTGATATTGAACTAGATATTAAACATTATTTGTTTTTCCATAAAATTCTGTAGATGCTAGAGCATACAATGTAATGTACAAAGGACAGACTTAAAAAACATAAAAGAATTTCCAAATCTATTAAGATTTTTATCAAAATTTTCAATAAGTGCATTGTTATGGAATTTTCTTGAAACAATTTATCTTAAATGAGAAAAAAAGTCTTACTTACCTAAAACTGCCATTACTATAAAGACTGGAATTTCTATGAGATCAAAACTTAAATCCTACAAAACAATGCAATTTAAAATTAGATAAAGATGACCTTGGCAACCCAATAATTACATTTTCATTTAAATATATATCATTTCATTACCAGTGAGAAAGGATAAATGACAATCAGATATTAAAACTATTTTAACAATCCATTTCTGTATTCTTCAAGCATCTTTGTAGAATATCATATTTTGTTTTCTTTGAAATCTGCGAAATTAATACCATGATCATACAGTGCATGCAATCACATTGCTAGTGGAGTGAAGAGGCTACATACTTACCACTTTAAATACATTAAAACGGACCAATCCTGGGGCGGACAGCTTGGTGGGGTGGCCATTAAATGCACTGATTAAGAAGTTGGTACCAAAACAGGCAATCATAGAAGCAAAAAACTGAAATGAGATCAAAATATTCCTTTATACATGCTTACAGTCCTCAAAAAAATAAGAACTCAAATAAACTGCATAGTGGACCATAGGATCATGACTATAAAGGAAAGCTGGAAATGGAAAGAAACCTATTAATAAAAGTCTAAATGAATATCGCTAAGATAAATCCCTAATCCTCTGAATTTTCTCTCTCTCTCTCTTGGTTATTTCAAAAAAGAAGCGAGACCCTTGACCACATAACTGTAACCATTGTCATCAAAATCTAGTATGAGTTGATAGTATGATGCTATGGTGTGAATATGGATCAAATTATAAGGGAGGTGTAAAAAGTGATATGGTTATACACAAGCTTTGTGCTAAGAGATTTCTATACACCCACCCATCACTAGGTGTGGGATATAAGTATCATGTTCCTATCCAATGTCTTTAACACTATTATGCGACACCTGTTCACTGATTATATAATAAATCTTTCTAGTCCCATCCCAAGTTCTGACAAGCAAACATCCCAAAGGACCTTTACACAATGATGAAAAAAGAAGTTGAAATACATATGTTGTCTTGAGACCAACACAGTGATTTGATCTTGGTTTACTTCACATTCGGAAGTCAAATAACAACACATGTGGGCGTCGATGTGAAAATATATGGTGTAATTGATAATCACAGCAAATTGTTACAGCCAATCAAAGAACTTGGTAGCTATCTCATATAAGTCCAAAGAACACGGTATATATCTCCTTAAAATCAAGTTATTCCAGCTAACGACTATAACAACATATTAAGTATTATACAGTCCTTAATGTGATGAGTCAATGGGTACACATAAGTCTTGAGTAAAAATGACATGACAGCATGTAAAATATTATATAATGGTGAACATAATTCTTGGGAAACCATTACTTTCCAAATTCCTTCTAGCAATATTTTTCACAGAAACGAAATACTGTGAGATTTAAATGAAATGTATAATTGATGTTGTTTAACATTCAGCATATCATGCGATATGTTTTATTATGATTTATGTAGTGTGATTAAGAGGCTTTTACCAAACTCTGTTTACTTAATCATCCAGCTCCTTCTCTTCAATGTCTTAATACACACTTAATAAACTCACATTACCCTGACAAGTATTGATCATTCTGTTGTTCTTTTTAAATGTTTTTAATTCTTTTATATTCCACCACCTCCTTAACAAGATAAAAGTACATTCTGAAGTGCATGTGGGTTAAAAGAAATTAAGTTAAACTTAATAACAAAAGGCCATTAGAACTATTCACTATTTGGTGTATTTTTTCTAACTTGAAGTTAATTAAGTTTACTTTTATTCCAAAAAGTATTTCAAGATATGGGAGATGCATATCATTAAAGGAATCAAGAGTAAGCAGATAAAAGGCTGTATCCCAGAATGTTTTGATGTTACACAGAGAATGACAATAAAACTGAAGTATCCATTTAGCTCGTTTAACGGCTAAATATTAATAGGTTTTAACAGTGACTTAACATCATTTACCCTGATCCACATATAAACACATACTTATATATAAAGCCAATATCACACGTTTCTAAATGCCCAGTGTTGGCCCAACATAGGAGGGATTGGAGCAACATACCACTCTCCAGGTGAGGTCCTGGTTCCAGAAGCTAGCTGCCTCCTCTAAACTGAAAAGAGTTCCCCCTACTGGAGCTCCAAAAGCTGCGGACACCCCTGATGCTGCCCCACCCGCCACAAAATCCCGAATTTCGTGGTCGTCACGGAACCCGTCATATACCTGAATTACAAATAAGTCACAAATCTCACTATAGAAACCATGATATTAATTACCAGGTACTGTATATAATAGGGACGGGCTATTTTACAACTATTTTGGAATTTCTCATAACTCCTTCAGCTTGCAGATTTCAGTTTCACTTATGTCTGAATGTCGATGTATAAATGATATTTTGTAAAAATGTGATTTGAACTGATTAAAAAAAACTGCTTGGACTTGTATGAATAACAACACAGTATATATACAAATACATTATTGCTATCATGTTTCCTAAATTTCAAGAAGTGGATTGTAAACATGCTTAATGAAGCAAGTTAGAATTAAATTATCTTAATTACAATACATCTTGTAGAAACCAAAGTGTAAAAAGACAGATGGACAGGGGGAGCAGACAGATGAACAGACAGATGAAGGCCATACAATAACAATGGTCAACATACCGAGCACCTCTTCCTGCCAAAGAAGTTGATGCGGCCTTTGCCCAAGCCAGCAGCAATGATACCTCCTGAGTGAGCCATGGGACCCTCCTACAATCAATCACACCACAGGTATAATACAAAACAATCACAGCAGACAGTTCCTTACATCTAATTTACAATGACGTCTTTACATTAACTTACGACAACTGCAAATTTGTTTGTCATTTTACTCTGGGCCCAATATAATTATCAATTTTCTCTCCAACAGTATCACATTATATTATCCATCTAATTCAATAGACCACCTACAGAATCTGGATCGTAATTAAATGTTACATGCTGTTTTGGAAAATTAATTTTGAAATTTTTAATGAAACTTTGAGAATGTCAGGTGAATATCAAATCCATATTATCTATGTGTAGTCACTTTTAATGCACTCATATAGATCAACTTTTCATTTGTTAAAGATAAATCTAAATGTCAATCGTCTTTTCAAGTTCGAAAATAGAATGACTTTTTTTTAAAAAGATCATCATATATTCCCTGTAGGATAAATCTTAATTTGTACAAATCAGAATTGATTTTCTTTCTAAATAAAACTAACATTTAAAGTTTTCTGTCAATCTATAGAGCTAATCCCAAGTGAGAGTGGATCAATCAGCACTAAATTTAGTTTCGGTACAAATAGTCAAGGAGTTCAATTTATAAAAGAAGAAAACCTTTTTTTTTCACACAAAACAGGAAATATCTGGGAATTTTTGTACACAGTACCGTATATCCTGTCATTATATAAACAGAGGTTAGATAACCAGTGGTTGTTGTACATGGTCTTTCTTTAACTGAAGTTATTTACATATTTTTCAATTGTTACTAAAAGCAAAAGTTTTAGAAAAATGACCAATAACAGTGAAAGAAAATACTACATACAACAACTATGAGTGTATGTGACCAGTTTCTACCAATAAGAAACAGCTGTTTCAAGTTTGAATTGGCTAGCTCTGTGCCACCCTATGTTTTCTTTATATCTGTGACATTATGATATGACCTATAGTGAAATGTTGCTAATGTAAAACTGAAAAGTTCAGAAATATGAAAATTCATTATAAATCATAACCGATCAGAAATGGGTTTCAGCTTTATTATCTTAAAGGGATAAATTGATAGAAATACATGAAAAATAAAAAAATTTCAAAAACAATCATGAACTACTTATTGCATGCTTATAATTTTTCACAACTGTGTAAAGGGCCCTTTTGGTCTGAGTTCTCAGCCAATTAAAAGACTTGAAGGTCATATACAACTAGTGGTATATGTTATATTTTTATCCAACCATCATGACATTAAGCAATGGTTTGAGAGTTGAATAACACAACTTATGTTCAGCAGTGACATAAATTATAATTTGATAAAGAGCAATTTTCATGAAGAACAATAGTATTTTGTTTTCTTTACCAGTAGCATTATATCTTAAATTCACAGACTGGTCCATTACATGCTACATGAGTTCTATAGGGTGAGCTATATTGATAAGTAATTTCACAGTAGTTCACCAACAGTCTCCTGAGTAGACATTTATTCATAAAATCTAAAATGTTTCTGTATAAAGACAATCTTATTAACTGGGTCAATACTTTACACTAATCATTATTCTGAGGGAGGATTCAAGGCTTCAATAACATCCCACAAAACATAAACCAGCACATGCTAAATTGTTTTTTTATTTGATAATAATTGTTGAGACTGTATACCTCTACGACGTTTTAAACATTGAACCAATTTCTGCTGGAGTGTAATATCAACTCACTCACTGCATCACATATTAGAAATTTAATTCTGATAACACTTCAGTCCAAAAGGAATACAGGAAGATAGAGTATATACATGTAAATCATAGGAGTAATAATACATAATCTACAGTTATGGTTATATCATACCTTTATCAGATAAATGATATACCTGATTAAGTTTATAATTATACTAATTAATTATGAATTTCTATTTCTATCTATAAGATAAAGCTGACACCGAAACTTGAATACTTTTCAATTAAACTGCTTTGATAAACAGCTGAGATTTATGGATAAAAATGAAATATTTTTAGATTTAAAGATTGAAAAAAATATTGTAATGTTGTTTTGTTTGCACTGTCAGCTTTACATATATGAAGTAACTAGTATAAAGAAATACATATTGAGAAAACTGGGGTGCTTAAACTGATACATGTATACTTAATGTAATATAGTCAAACTTCAAAAGTTTTCTGAATTTCAATTCTTTCTGAACACCAGTAATTCTTTTCAATCAGAAACACAAATATTTCACCAATCATTTTATCGTTTCTTTTTTTTTCTTCTTCATTTTTCATCCATAGTTAATTAAAAGAACATTAATGAGACCGTGACTGGTTAAAACACAGTGATGAGGAACACCATGCCTTGAGAACCTATACTGGGGCATTATATCTCAAAAACTATGGAAGGCATCAATAACTTATATTGGTGTTTGGACCTATACTGTATCACAAAGAATTCGGAATTCAGGCCCTGTGTGTTTGGGCATAAACTTGGTTGAAAATGAATAGATATTCAAACTCATTTTTGTATAGTTAACCACACAGTAACTTTCAACAATTGTCTGAAGCAAGTCAATTGCAAAGATAATACATATATAGAAAGCATCATAACAAAACACATGCTTGGATGCATGGATTAGTCAATTATATAGGCCTGACGATTAAAGCATATTGCTGAAAGACCAGCAGGGAAGGCAATGGATATATATAGGCAAGCAGAGTAGGCCTATTGTATTGGACTTGATTCAGGCTAGTAATCAGATGGGGGTGAAATTATGGAAGGTTTAAGAGGATGGAATAGTGCAAGTGTGCATGGAGTAAAATCATAACTCTCTAGGAAATTAAACAAGAAATCTCAGAGGGACATCATATGATCTTAACGGATTCTATGAAAATAAGCTTGCATCTTTAATTTCACTTACGCATAAAACAAATTATCCATCTACCACTGCTGTACAAACATGGTGATATCAATCTTCTAGTGTTGAAATATGAAATGGCTGTCCATCACCAAGATTTTTTATCATTCTCAAAATTAAACAAAAACAGCCAAGAGGAACCTTCATATTAAATTTGAGAAAGATCCATAAAGTATTTATCAGGAATTAGTGATAATTAGCTGTCATAATAAAAAAGTGGCTGTGTGTGGGCCATTTTCTAGCAACATGGGTCTAAAAATTAAACAGGCATGACAAGGGACCAAGGGAAACCTTCATAAAGAATTTGAAAATGATTCATGTGATAATTCTGAAGAAACAGTGATAACAAGAATTGTTTAAGAAAGACAGACAAACAGGTAATGGATCATAAGTGATTTAAAACAGACTAATATCATGAAAAGCTGAAAAATAGCTAAATAAGAATTTCATTGATTCAAGATATGTATGGAACAAGACAGCATGAAGAAAGCTTTCTGAGGATGGGTAATTTTGTCAATGTTAAGTGTCTTGGGAACAAAAAGGTAGAGGTGATATTAGCAATACTGTTCGCACAGATAACATAATGGGTACATATTGGTCATGATATATGTGGGTTTAGGGCTTACAGATCCTTGTTTCCAGAGTTAGATGAGGGTTGTCAATTGTGTAGGCAGAGCTATATGAGTGTGAAATGTAGAGAAGGAGGAAGAGGATCAGCTACAAAGCTAAAGGCAAGTAAGTCATAAAATGGTTGTCAGACAGTGTTAGGTATGGTCCAGTAGGCAGGTCATAGGTTAGAGATTAAAATCTCAGGTAAAATAGGGAAAAGGTTTTGTGATGAAACAGGAACTGGAATGTGAAACTGTCTAGAAAAAAATAGGTTGGAGTTGACAATGGGGCAAGGAAAGGGGTCAAAGGTGAGTGTTGGGCAATGAAAGTGGATAGAGGTAAGAGTTAGGACAATGAAAGGAGCTAGAGTTGAGTGTAGGGCAATGAAAGTGGATAGAGGTAAGAGTTAGGACAATGAAAGGAGCTAGAGTTGAGAGTAGGGCAATGAAAGTGGATAGAGGTAAGAGTTAGGACAATGAAAGGAGCTAGAGTTGAGTGTAGGGCAATGAAAGTGGATAGAGGTAAGAGTTAGGACAATGAAAGGAGCTAGAGTTGAGTGTAGGGCAATGAAAGTGGATAGAGGTAAGAGTTAGGACAATGAAAGGAGCTAGAGTTGAGTGTAGGGCAATGAAAGAAAGCAAGATGTGAGTCCAGAGGTGAGGGTTAGGACAATGATAAGAGCTAGAGGTTGTAAGGGACTGCTGAGGGCTGTGTCTTTTGGTGAGTGGGTATAAGAATGACTGTAAGAGGTTGTAAGGGACTGCTGAGGGCTGTGTCTTTTGGTGAGTGGGTATAAGAATGACTGTAAGAGGTTGTAAGAGACTGCTGAGGGCTGTGTCTTTTGGTGAGTGGGTATAAGAATGACTGTAAGAGGTTGTAAGAGACTGCTGAGGGCTGTGTCTTTTGGTGAGTGGGTATAAGAATGACTGTAAGAGGTTGTAAGAGACTGCTGAGGGCTGTGTCTTTTGGTGAGTGGGTATAAGAATGACTGTAAGAGGTTGTAAGGGACTGCTGAGGGCTGTGTCTTTTGGTGAGTGGGTATAAGAATGATTGTAAGAGGTTGTAAGAGACTACTGAGGGCTGTGTCTTTTGGTGAGTGGGTATAAGAATGACTGTAAGAGGTTGTAAGGGACTGCTGAGGGCTGTGTCTTTTGGTGAGTGGGTATAAGAATGATTGTAAGAGGTTGTAAGAGACTGCTGAGGGCTGTGTCTTTTGGTGAGTGGGTATGATAGTGACTGTAAGAGGTTGTAAGAGACTGCTGAGGGCTGTGTCTTTTGGTGAGTGGGTATAAGAATGACTGTAAGAGGTTGTAAGAGACTGCTGAGGGCTGTGTCTTTTGGTGAGTGGGTATGATAGTGACTGTAAGAGGTTGTAAGGGACTGCTGAGGGCTGTGTCTTTTGGTGAGTGGGTATAAGAATGACTGTAAGAGGTTGTAAGAGACTGCTGAGGGCTGTGTCTTTTGGTGAGTGGGTATAAGAATGACTGTAAGAGGTTGTAAGGGACTGGTAAGGGCTGTGTCTTTTGGTGAGTGGGTATGAAAATGATTGTAAGAGGCTGTAAGGGACTAATGAGGGCTGTGTCTTTTGGTGGGTGGGTATGATAATGACTGTAAGAGGCTGTAAGGGACTGGTGAGGGGGGTGTCTTTTGGTGATTGGGTATGAAATGATTGTAAGATTGTAAGGGACTGGTGAGGGCTGTGTCTTTTGGTGAGTGGGTATAAGAATGACTGTAAGAGGTTGTAAGAGACTGGTGAGGGCTGTGTCTTTTGGTGAGTGGGTATAAGAATGACTGTAAGAGGTTGTAAGAGACTGCTGAGGGCTGTGTCTTTTGGTGAGTGGGTATAAGAATGACTGTAAGAGGTTGTAAGAGACTGCTGAGGGCTGTGTCTTTTGGTGAGTGGGTATAAGAATGACTGTAAGAGGTTGTAAGAGACTGCTGAGGGCTGTGTCTTTTGGTGAGTGGGTATAAGAATGACTGTAAGAGGTTGTAAGAGACTGCTGAGGGCTGTGTCTTTTGGTGAGTGGGTATAACAATGAGTAACAGGATTGAAATAAGTCACTAATGAGGGAGGGGTCTTTTGGTGAGTGGGTATGAGAATGATTGTAAGAGGTTGTAAGAGACTGCTGAGGGCTGTGTCTTTTGGTGAGTGGGTATAAGAATGACTGTAAGAGGTTGTAAGAGACTGCTGAGGGCTGTGTCTTTTGGTGAGTGGGTATAAGAATGACTGTAAGAGGTTGTAAGAGACTGCTGAGGGCTGTGTCTTTTGGTGAGTGGGTATAAGAATGACTGTAAGAGGTTGTAAGAGACCGCTGAGGGCTGTGTCTTTTGGTGAGTGGGTTATGATAATGACTGTAAGAGGTTGTAAGAGACTGCTGAGGGCTGTGTCTTTTGGTGAGTGGGTATGATAGTGACTGTAAGAGGTTGTAAGAGACTGCTGAGGGCTGTGTCTTTTGGTGAGTGGGTATAAGAATGACTGTAACAGGTTGTAAGAGACTGCTGAGGGCTGTGTCTTTTGGTGAGTGGGTATAAGAATTACTGTAAGAGGTTGTAAGAGACTGCTGAGGGCTGTGTCTTTTGGTGAGTGGGTATAAGAATGACTGTAAGAGGTTGTAAGAGACTGCTGAGGGCTGTGTCTTTTGGTGAGTGGGTATAAGAATGACTGTAAGAGGTTGTAAGAGACTGCTGAGGGCTGTGTCTTTTGGTGAGTGGGTATAAGAATGACTGTAAGAGGTTGTAAGAGACTGCTGAGGGCTGTGTCTTTTGGTGAGTGGGTATAAGAATGACTGTAAGAGGTTGTAAGAGACCGCTGAGGGCTGTGTCTTTTGGTGAATGGGTATGATAATGACTGTAAGAGGTTGTAAGAGACTGCTGAGGGCTGTGTCTTTTGGTGAGTGGGTATGATAGTGACTGTAAGAGGTTGTAAGAGACTGCTGAGGGCTGTGTCTTTTGGTGAGTGGGTATAAGAATGATTGTAAGAGGTTGTAAGAGACTGCTGAGGGCTGTGTCTTTTGGTGAGTGGGTATGATAGTGACTGTAAGAGGTTGTAAGAGACTGCTGAGGGCTGTGTCTTTTGGTGAGTGGGTATAAGAAGGACTGTAAGAGGTTGTAAGAGACTGCTGAGGGCTGTGTCTTTTGGTGAGTGGGTATGATAGTGACTGTAAGAGGTTGTAAGGGACTGCTGAGGGCTGTGTCTTTTGGTGAGTGGGTATAAGAATGACTGTAAGAGGTTGTAAGAGACTGCTGAGGGCTGTGTCTTTTGGTGAGTGGGTATAAGAATGACTGTAAGAGGTTGTAAGGGACTGGTAAGGGCTGTGTCTTTTGGTGAGTGGGTATGAAAATGATTGTAAGAGGCTGTAAGGGACTAATGAGGGCTGTGTCTTTTGGTGGGTGGGTATGATAATGACTGTAAGAGGCTGTAAGGGACTGGTGAGGGGGGTGTCTTTTGGTGATTGAGTATGAGAATAATTGTAAGGGACTGGTGAGGGCTGTGTCTTTTGGTGAGTGGGTATAAGAATGACTGTAAGAGGTTGTAAGAGACTGCTGAGGTCTGTGTCTTTTGGTGAGTGGGTATAAGAATGACTGTAAGAGGTTGTAAGAGACTGCTGAGGGCTGTGTCTTTTGGTGAGTGGGTATAAGAATGACTGTAAGAGGTTGTAAGAGACTGCTGAGGGCTGTGTCTTTTGGTGAGTGGGTATAAGAATGACTGTAAGAGGTTGTAAGAGACTGCTGAGGGCTGTGTCTTTTGGTGAGTGGGTATAACAATGACTGTAAGAGGTTGTAAGGGACTAATGAGGGCGGTGTCTTTTGGTGAGTGGGTATGAGAATGATTGTAAGAGGTTGTAAGAGACTGCTGAGGGCTGTGTCTTTTGGTGAGTGGGTATAAGAATGACTGTAAGAGGTTGTAAGAGACTGCTGAGGGCTGTGTCTTTTGGTGAGTGGGTATAAGAATGACTGTAAGAGGTTGTAAGAGACTGCTGAGGGCTGTGTCTTTTGGTGAGTGGGTATAAGAATGACTGTAAGAGGTTGTAAGAGACCGCTGAGGGCTGTGTCTTTTGGTGAGTGGGTATGATAATGACTGTAAGAGGTTGTAAGAGACTGCTGAGGGCTGTGTCTTTTGGTGAGTGGGTATGATAGTGACTGTAAGAGGTTGTAAGAGACTGCTGAGGGCTGTGTCTTTTGGTGAGTGGGTATAAGAATGACTGTAACAGGTTGTAAGAGACTGCTGAGGGCTGTGTCTTTTGGTGAGTGGGTATAAGAATTACTGTAAGAGGTTGTAAGAGACTGCTGAGGGCTGTGTCTTTTGGTGAGTGGGTATAAGAATGACTGTAAGAGGTTGTAAGAGACTGCTGAGGGCTGTGTCTTTTGGTGAGTGGGTATAAGAATGACTGTAAGAGGTTGTAAGAGACTGCTGAGGGCTGTGTCTTTTGGTGAGTGGGTATAAGAATGACTGTAAGAGGTTGTAAGAGACTGCTGAGGGCTGTGTCTTTTGGTGAGTGGGTATAAGAATGACTGTAAGAGGTTGTAAGAGACTGCTGAGGGCTGTGTCTTTTGGTGAATGGGTATGATAATGACTGTAAGAGGTTGTAAGGGACTGGTAAGGGCTGTGTCTTTTGGTGAGTGGGTATGAAAATGATTGTAAGAGGCTGTAAGGGACTAATGAGGGCTGTGTCTTTTGGTGGGTGGGTATGATAATGACTGTAAGAGGCTGTAAGGGACTGGTGAGGGGGGGGTGTCTTTTGGTGATTGAGTATGAGAATAATTGTAAGGGACTGGTGAGGGCTGTGTCTCTTGGTGAGTGGGTATGAGAATAATTGTAAGGGACTGGTGAGGGCTGTGTCTCTGGGTGAGTGGGTATGATAATGACTGTAAGAGGCTGTAAGGGACTGGTGAGGGTGTGTCTTTTGGTGAGTGGGTATGAGAATGATTGTAAGAAGTTATAAGGGACTGGTGAGGTCTGTGTCTTTTGGTGAGTGTTTATGAGAATGACTGTAAGAGGTTGTAAGAGACTGCGGAGGGCTGTGTCTTTTGGTGAGTGGGTATGAGAATAATTGTAAGGGACTGGTGAGGGCTGTGTCTCTGGGTGAGTGGGTATGATAATGACTGTAAGAGGCTGTAAGGGACTGGTGAAGGGTGTGTCTTTTGATGAGTGGGTATGAGAATGATTGTAAGAAGTTGTAAGGGACTGGTGAGGGGTGTGTCTCTTGGTATGATAATGACTGTAAGAGGTTGTAAGGGACTGGTAAGGGCTGTGTCTTTTGGTGAGTGGGTATGATAATGACTGTAAGAGGTTGTAAGGGACTGGTGAGGGCTGTGTCTTTTGGTGAGTGGGTATGATAATGACTGTAAGAGGTTGTAAGGGACTGGTGAGGGGTGTGTCTCTTGGTATGATAATGACTGTAAGAGGTTGTAAGGGACTAATGAGGGCTGTGTCGTTTGGTGAGTGGGTATGAGAATGATTGTAAGGGACTGGTGAGGGCTGTGTCTTTTGGTGAGTGGGTATGATAATGACTGTAAGAGGTTGTAAGGGACTGGTGAGGGGTGTGTGTCTTGGTATGATAATGACTGTAAGAGGTTGTAAGGGACTGGTAAGGGCTGTGTCTTTTGGTGAGTGGGTATGATAATGACTGTAAGAGGTTGTAAGGGACTGGTGAGGGCTGTGTCTTTTGGTGAGTGGGTATGATAATGACTGTAAGAGGTTGTAAGGGACTGGTGAGGGGTGTGTCTCTTGGTATGATAATGACTGTAAGAGGTTGTAAGGGACTGGTAAGGGCTGTGTCTTTTGGTGAGTGGGTATGAAAATGATTGTAAGAGGCTGTAAGGGACTAATGAGGGCTGTGTCTTGTGGTGAGTGAGTATGAGAATAATTGTAAGGGACTGGTAAGGGCTGTGTCTTTTGGTGAGTGGGTATGATAATGACTGTAAGAGGCTGTAAGGGACTGGTAAGGGCTGTGTCTTTTGGTGAGTGGGTATGAAAATGATTGTAAGAGGCTGTAAGGGACTAATGAGGGCTGTGTCTTTTGGTGGGTGGGTATGATAATGACTGTAAGAGGCTGTAAGGGACTGGTGAGGGCTGTGTCTCTTGATGAGTGGGTATGAGAATAATTGTAAGGGACTGGTGAGGGCTGTGTCTCTTGGTGAGTGGGTATGAGAATAATTGTAAGGGACTGGTGAGGGCTGTGTCTCTGGGTGAGTGGGTATGATAATGACTGTAAGAGGCTGTAAGGGAATGGTGAGGGCTGTGTCTTGTGGTGAGTGTTTATGAGAATGACTGTAAGAGGCTGTAAGGGACTGGTGAAGGGTGTGTCTTTTGATGAGTGGGTATGAGAATGATTGTAAGAAGTTGTAAGGGACTGGTGAGGGCTGTGTCTTTAGGTGAGTGGGTAGATTCATGCTGAGTTAGTAGTTACCTTCCCACATGCAAGGCCACCAAGTATAGAGAGTACCACTCCTACGGTTTTGGACACAAAAGCGCGTAAGGACAGCAGACCTGGGATTTTCACACCGTTCAGGTAGGACTTGATGTAAGGTATCCCACTTCCTGCTGCCATTGGCTGCACAAAAATGCATATCAATTTAGGAATACACACTGCTTCCATTAAAACATTTGGCATTTGTATATAAAGTATTAAAATCATCCAAGATGTGTCCCAGACAAAGTAGTGCATAGTGAAATCAGGGTCATCTTTCCCTGTATAAATAGAAACCTGATTTTGCTAGAAACACTCTTTTTTACTAATAAGTATTCAATTATTTATTTGCAATTCTTTGTTTTTATGTCAGTAAAAGAGGTAAGTAAATTAATGGTAAACAATTCTAAACAATGCTAAAATTGATCTAGGAGGATGGTATAAAGTTTAATATGTCGATTGCCATTCCATGAAGGACAAAAAACATTGTACAACATTTGGTGACTATATGTGACATGACTTACAAGGTACACCAAAGATAGAGTAAGGACCGATAAAATAAATGCTATCTATAGCTTGCAGATCAGCAAACAAAACATTGTATTAACCTGTTGATTTTTTTTATATAAGGACTAGTGAATCTGAACTCTTTCTGTGATATCATTGAATTTTTTCTTTTATACATGCTACCTACCTGCATAAATGTAACAAGGCCAGCCCCGGCCAGACTGACGACTAAGTTGATGGCCATCCATATTAGAACAGGCTGATACAGGCAGCTGTGGTTGGCACAATGGTCAAAATCTTAAGGGTTAAGGTCATCAAAACATTTTGAACACTAGACATTAGGGTGATGAAATATCTTTACTCGAGTTCCAGAATGGGGTAGCTAAAACATCTTTCTTCCCTTTTGTACAGAAAGGGAACACAGCTAGAATGTCCTTTCTGCCTCTGGTACAGAAAGGAAACACAGCTAAAACATCTTCCCTCCCTCTGGTACAGAAAGGGGACACAGCTAAAACATCTTCCCTCCCTCTGGTACAGAAAGGGAAAAAACAGTTAAAACGCCTTCCTTCCCTCTGGTACAGAAAGGGGACACAGCTAAAAAATCTTCCCTCCCTCTGGTAGAGAAAAGGGAACACAGCTGAAATGTCTTCCCTCGCTCTGGTACAGAAAGTGAACACAGCTGAAATGCCTTCCCTCCCTCTGGTACAGAAAGGGAACACGGCTGAAATGTCTTCCCTCCTTTTGGTACAGAAAGGGAATGCGGCTGAAATGTCTTCCCTCCTTTCGGTACAGAAAGGGAACACAGCTGAAATGTCTTCCCTCCTTTCGGTACAGAAAGGGAACACGGCTGAAATGTCTTCCCTCCTTTTGGTACAGAAAGGGAACACAGCTAAAATGTCTTCCCTCCTTTCGGTACAGAAAGGGAACACAGCTGAAATGTCTTCCCTCCTTTCGGTACAGAAAGGGAACACAGCCGAAATGTCTTCCCTCCTTTCGGTACAGAAAGGGAACACAGCTAAAATGTCTTCCCTCCTTTCGGTACAGAAAGGGAACACAGCCGAAATGTCTTCCCTCCTTTCGGTACAGAAAGGGAACACAGCTAAAATGATTAAGAATCAGCCATCAAATCTGACACCTTTTATCACTATGGAAACCGGAGGTTTATGTGATTCTGCTCCTTGATTAGTATATCTTATATAAGCCAGTGGTGTTTGTATATACAAAGAAATCAGAGTTTCCTAAGGTATATAAACAAAGCCCTTCCAGCTTATAATGAATGAAAGCAGAATTTGAATAAAATTCCAGCAAGCTATTTTAGATTAAATCAGATGAACCAATTTTTTTGTTTGTTGCGGGGAAAAAACAGAGAAGAGAGACAGACAACACGAGAGAAGACAAGTTAAGGACAGACAACATATTCAAATGAAAGAACCTAAAAATAGAAAACGGGAATGACACAACCATCTGTTCAGAACAGACTGACTAAACCAGCAAATAAAGAAAGGAAACTGACAGATGTGGACAACAGATACATCTGTGGTCAAAGATGACCTTTGACCCTGACAGACATTTTTGACAAAGTGTAGAGCTTGACAGTGGGATTCTATACTATGAACACTACTGATAAATTTAAGGATACATTCTTGTACAAGTTCAAACTTCTTGTGAGCAAGATTTTCCACAATGACATGGATGGCAGCCGCCAGCAACGCTGTACCAATGCCCACTAGGAACATCACCATCCACTTGCTGATCCATCGTAAAGTCACAGATTTCTATAAACAATAACAACAGCAAATGGTTATGTTTTCTTCAACAACACATTCACTAAGATCCCATTCAACATCCGTTAGTTGATTACAGGTCTTGTAAGTATTCCTATGGCTACAATTCTGGTAACATTTTATAATATTTGTAAATCAGTATTTGTCAGTTATTACATTAACAAGCACAAAGTCTAAAATCTCTAATTAACGATACATGTTCTGCTTTAAACTAATAGACACCATATTTCTCTCAAGACATCCATCAGTTAGCATTATCATCTTAATTGGTGGTGATGAGGCCAGACAGTGGAAATGTTAGAGATCTACCTATACAGACAGTGTTGTACTTACCTTGGACTTATACTTGTCTCGTTCCTTCAGGTAAAGGTAGTTCTCACAGGTGTCGTAGTTCAGACTCTAACAAACAAATACCATTCATTAGATATTCATGTGTCAAAGTTCAAACTCTCACAAATATATATCAATCATTAGATATTCATGTGTCATAGTTCAGAGTCTAACAAACAAATACCAATAATATTAGATATTCATGTGTCACAATACAATTCAACCTTTCAGCAGAGAAGTTATTGTCATAGCACAGACAACATCAAAAGTCATACTAAACGTACATATTATATATCCCTTACAGTCATATGATCATCATGTTATCCTTGTCACTGTTAGTGTAATTGCTGTCTGTTCTGACATCAATAAATGATGGCATGTTGCAAACTTCAAGAAAGACTTTGAAAAACAAGTTTTCTGCAATATTTGCAACAAAATTTTGATCATGTTTTAAGATTCTAAGATTTATGGAACTTATTTTTATGTTCATTTCAGTTAGCAAGAGGCTCACTCGAAAATTTCTTTGTTTCATAAATAACACCCAAATAAAACAGTCAAATGTTCATCGCCATATCATTCTGTATAGGAATGGATTGCCTCAGAAAAACCCATAATAAATCTAATGCACTTGGGAGGATCTTTGTATGTATTCAGAAAAGTTCCTTACACAAACACTTTTATCAAGTATTGTGGAAATTGTTAAAACAAGGTGAAACTATTAATATTCTAGACATTCTACATTAAACAAGAGAGAATGGATATGTTAACTTCTAAACTGCCACACAGAATCTATAGTGAAGGTGAAACTTAAATAAATGATTGAATAATACAATATCTATATTGTAGAATCGTGCCAAAGGTTATTGTCTATGTACTATGTATCCAATGGCCTTCTAATACTAACTATAAATCAATATCTGATTCAAAACTGCAATAAAAGAATGAAAAATCTGACTTACATTTAGCTGTAAGCTTTAACAGTCCCTTTGATTAGCAAATTGACACATTATATGATTGTATCAGTAGTATGAATCTGACTAATAATTAAGGAACAACCTAAAGTTTAATAGAAAATATCAGCTCATCCGCAAGGCCCTGCTAGGTGTCTCAACATAATAGTGAACTTGACCTGATAAAAATTAGACCTTGACCTTTGACCTAAGGACCTTGAAAAAATTTGATTGTAGACGCAAAGGACACAATGGTATGTTACATATGACACTTTGAAAATCTCCAAAAACCAAAAGAATTAAGGAACAGTTTGGGCAGCCTGACATCAATAACAATTCTATTACTATCAGGATATAAAGACCCCAATGTAAGGCCATGATTCAAATATTGAAGAAGCCACTGTAAACTTTCTATAAAAGACAGAGATGGATAATAATTTTCAAAAGATGGCCTAGACTCTTGAAAGTAGAATGCATACCTAAGTACTATAAAAGAAGACCTTAAATAGTTAAAGGACAACTACATGTGTAAAGGAGCTATCTTTGTCAGTTTTCAATAACTATCAGTTAATTTGATGACTGTAATAGCATTTTGTAATGCTTGCAAAATCAGCTTGCCTGCAACTTAAAACTAAATACTATATTATAGTCCCTGAAGAAATAATGTCTGTAAGAAATCTTAAAGGGACAGATGATGTATTTAAAAAGTAACACTGCTGCACTGAGAGTGAGTCCTAAGACTACAGAGAGCACTATAGTATTAATATATGTGATGAGCACTGATGTAAAACTTATTCAAAACAAGGCATTTCATTCTCTATTTAAATGAAAATAGCCATGAATGCAAGAATCTAATAAGGTAATCTGTGATGTTGGAGGATTTTTCTTAATGTCAGAATTTCAAAGACGGATTAAGATGACTTACATTTGTAGTAGAAGACCTTGATAATTCAGACAGAACTGCTGTGTTATATACACATTATTTTGCTCAAGATCTTAACGGATTTAACAAACCTTTATGTGTTAAGTGAAAAAGTGCACAACCTTGAAATTTAACTCTGTTCAGGAATTTTAGGCACAGCTGTGTAAAATTTCACTGAAATTTGTCAAGTACTAAACCCAAAATGCTGCGAGCAATGTGACCATGGAAAATTTTCAAAATTATTTGTGTTAATCCATGTTTACACTGTAAAAACTTGAAGTCAAGAACATGATGAAAAGAACTCTCTGAAGTTTAATACCAAACCTGAAGTTTGTAATTAACTTTACTAATATGCTGCAAGCAAGGTGAACGTTGATGGACAAATGATAGGATGAACATAACATTAGTGATGGGAAATCAGTCAAAAACCCATAATCATTATCAGCCAGGTTTTCCAAATTATTTAATCAATTATAAAATGACGGACATAGAAAATGAACGCATTATCTTTTTCAGTAGTACTTATATCTCATTTTTGCAAATTTCTCCTTGATTGGCTTGCTTACCTAAGGTTTGCATAAGAATGAAACATGTTGACAATTAGCATCTTTATTATGCAAGATGTGAAATTTGTTTTAGCTGAAACATACCAAATTGTTTTAGCTGAAACATATTAAATTATTAAGGCACCTATGATCGATTATGAAAAATTACGATGAATCAATGTATCAGTTGATGTTATATGATAGCCCAGTTCCATGATGTCTTGCATGTATAATGTTTTAAGATAAATGAAAAGAATATTTCAAGTAGACCCAAACTTTCCTTATTGGCTTTTTAAGGGCTTTAACAAATAATTCTGGAATAAAAGAATATACTGGAAACATACATATTTTGATGCGATATTAATTTTCGAGAAAAAGATGCAATAATGAATTTCAGCATCCCAGTAATGGCCAAATCTTTAATGTAAAAACCAATAAAATAGCGTTACCACTTAGATTAAGATTATCACTGTAATTCAGATTACACAAAAAATATGATTACCACTAAAATTAAGATTATCATTGAAATTTGCAAATTTACAGTAAGTCCTTCCAGATTTCTCATTGCAAAGTAATAAATGTGAAAATGATTTGGTAATCTACCATGTGATTCCCAGACATTTCGTAGTAAGTGGCAGCTTAATAGTACCACTTTCTCAAGATAATGTCCAGCAAAACACCATTACTGCAAAGAGGCAAAATGAATGGAAAACACTCCATTGTACATTTGCTGAGAAGCCATGGTTGGTCATCCATAACCAGGCAATGATGCATTATGGGTGTCAGTCACAGGAGTTGCCGTCTGCTATCACCAATCATGGCATCTCCTCTGGCACTCTGATTTTATTAGGTGTTGTATTACACTATCAATCTCTATTTATCTGAAAATTGCAGATCTCAGGGAGGCACGTTACTGAGAAAGTGGATTGACTGTATTACTACAACAACTTCCCAGACACAGTAAATGCCACTCAAATTTGGATGAAATAACTCAATTTTACACTTAATCAAAATTGAAAAAATAAAATTTAACATGAAGATTCTCTTTCACGACTTTCACAGATAATGCAGTTTTCACAGTGATACTATATTGATACTGTTTGATAAGATCATGGAAACCATTTAATCTGGCTCCTAATGGTTGATCTCCAACCTTCTAGAACATGATACCGTGTTGTCCTGACCAACAATGTTTGCATAAAATATTATGTTTTGTTTGTGAAATAGCATTGCAGGCAATGTTTCAGATGTCAATATCGGGTCAAACACAGATAAGCAAAATCTACAAACAGGCATGAATATCACATAATTAGCAAATTGAAGACATTAAAACTCATGATCAGAAATTGATTGAAAACATTAATGAACATTAATCTGTAACAATTAATTGTCATAATGGTGCCTGGACTTACTTCCCATTTTGAAACAAGCCTCTTTCTGAAACGTGGTGACTCAATACCATACTGTTTCAACTTCTTCTGTATATCCTGAAAAAAGTCAGAGGTAGTGAAAAGAATACATCTCAATATATCTATTATAAGCAAACCAAAAATGTTCATAAATCATCAAACAAAACACTGATACTTTCAAATTACTTTTGACAAGTAATTTAGGATGTGTTCCTACAAACAAGCATCAATTAGATAAGCTAAAAGTAATTAACAAACACAACATCTATTCTTGATGTATGTATCTAGGAATAGGCCCATGTCTGGTTTAGTAGAATTACTTACAAATACTATTTCATAGTCTTCTAATAATAATCCCATCCCCTCTTGACTCAGAGTTACATGTTAACCTTCTGCAATGTCCTGTGTTAAGATGAAACTTTTGACTTCATTAAGTTGGATAATGGGTTGACCCTTGGGCTTATTGTCCTGTAATAAGCCTATCCCTGACATAATAGAGTAAGAGGTAATGTGTTGACTCTTAGACTTACAGGTCCTGTAATAAGCCCAGTCCTTACTTAATTGAGGTAATGTGTTGATCTCCTAGGCTTATTGCCCTGTAGCAAGTCCACCTCTGACTTTGAGGTAGAGGCTATGTGTAAGCCCCTGCTTTTGTTATCTAGAATTATCCCAACCATCACTTTTATTCAGATGTCAATGTGTTGGCCTCTCATCTTATTGGCTTGTAATAAGCCCACCTCTGACTTTGCGTAAGAGGCTATATATTAGCCACTTCAGGTCCTGGGCTCAATGTGAGATATATCCAGTAAATTAAATTCTATTATGCTTTTATTTCTGAAACTCTCAAGTAACCAAGTAACCTAGTAATGTGATGACTTAACCCTAGACTTTCACAGGTCAATCATATTAGAAACAAAACAGCTGTACATAACTATTCAAACGAGAACATTGCAAAAGTCTTAAGTGTTGAGAGCAACTATAAAATGCCTTTAAACCAAGAAAATGATTCCAACTGTCACAAAAGCCAGCTAATGGTAAACAGAATAAATAAAACCTGCATCAGGAAAGGAATAAAATGTCATATATAAGATAGAGCACTGTATTTTATACGTATCTTCTACTACTGTGAGATACCAGCATCTTTAGTCAAGGGGAAAATAAATTTATTGTACTGACAGTTCACCCAAGGCTGGTTCTCACAAATGTTCGAGAGCCAAAAAACAGATCTCAAACATAACATCATGGTACTTCTACCAGCAATGAATTAAGAGCTGACACAGCATTCACTTGTCAAAAGGACAGAAAATAATATAACTGACTTCAGTATTTTCTTAAAACATTTTGGACACCCTAGGCATGAAATTTATAAACCAGTGCTGTAGCAAAGTGTTAACTTGTGGTGTGTACAGCAAGTTAATTAAGGAGCTACAGCAGATTGAATACCTATTAGCATGAGCCATCAATGGTAACATATACATTAGTTAGGGTAGGCCTGAAATGGTTGGGCCAATAAGCTGAATATCTGACAAAGGCTATCTTTGGTTACAGGTAAATTAGTTAATTTGCCTTAAAAGGATGGGCCAATAGACTAAATACCTAGCAAGGGTATATCATAAGTTACCTGTTAATCAGTTAGGGTAGGCCTTAAATGAATGTACCAATGGACTGAATACCTAGCTTGGGCTATCATTGGTAAAATCCCATGCCTGGTAATAAGCCCAGACATCTCTATATTGACAACTAGTTCAAAAGAAAAGGTTAGAAAGTGATGATCACAGCCAAACTGTAATTATAGCCATTTCCTTTTGTGATTAGAGATTGTGTGTTTGCACACTGGGTTTGCTGCAGGATGAATATGGTAAAATTCCTAAAATTCAAGTCCTACACAAGCTCAACTCATGTTATTGTTGTAAATGACTTCCAATTACAGAACACACCAGAAGGTTACCTTTTATACACATGGAATCCTATAGTTCTCAATCTTATCAAATCAATATTCTTCATGTTGAAACAAACTCAGAATAGATTTAATGCATGTTTTATTGGCGGAGGGTTTTTAGATGCAGTACAATTATATCAGTCTCATCAGACTTCAAGTTCTACATCTTCAATAAGAAATTGTAGGAGTTTTACAGTAAATTAAACACAATACTGATTTGCTGAATAAAATATTTTTCTACACGTCATTCCACAATCTATGTACCAGCAATACACGCAGTCTTTGAGATGTATAGTACACCACAAATTATATGCTTGTTGTGTCATGCAATAGGATCATTATTATGGCAGCATTCAGCTCCAATTATGGCTGAGATTGGCCACCATTGACTGAGCTGTCCCCAGGGATCCTCTTCAGACTCACCAGGTCTGCACTACTCATCATGAACTGAGTACTAGTATATCTACATTTCTCTAATCCAGCCAGTGTTCTTTTGACCTATAGACTGTTGTTTTCACCTTTATTGACCTTATCATGCTCTTCTTCACCACATTACATCATTCCATGATCTGTATAGAAGGAGTATAAATGTTGATGTGAAAGCGTTTTATTTCATTTTAAAGTCAACATTTCCATGACAACTCTATCGCTATCTTTTTTGCTCCACAACCACTACTGACCTATAAATATTATTCTGATCTTTATTATGTCCACAAGCTAAAATTCACACGTAATGTTTCACAATATCCTTGAAAGAACTGTATAGCAGATCAGGGCCTCCATATCAGGCAGTGTATAACAGATCAGGGCTCCCATATTAGACAGTGAATTACAGATCAGGCCCTCCATAGAAGACAGTGTATAATAGATCAGGGCTTGCCTTGCTCCCTGCAAATTAGTATTAGCTTTTTATATTTAGGAACTATGACCTTGACCTTAGAGTCCCAGAAACAGGTTTTCTTACCTGAGGTATTGCTGTTGTTTTATTGAATTTCCTAAAGAAATGAAGTTGCCTGAGTGATGTGGGGATAACACATGATACATTAGTAACACTAATATGCCTCTATAAACCGATACTGAAAAACATCAGATCTGCTAATTTCTAAAAATTAAGGCATTTTTATTACTCAGTGTTAAATTTGGAATGAATCACAAACAGTGTTTAGTAAAGGTCATTCAAGGTATCCAAATTGTATACACTACAGAAGGCTTAGCACAGACCACTGTAATATCTTACAATATGCCCAGGGCCCAGCACAAAACGTATTACTCAAGTAAGAGTGATGGGCTGTTTACAGGAAAATTCCATACAGGGCTGTATAAGATGTAGGTGGACTCATTTTCATGCAAGAACTCATTTACTGGATAAATACAGGAAGCTGGTGTAACATACTGGTAGATCCCTCTACTAGGTACACTACAGAAACCATTCCTAAACCCTGTAAAATATACTTATTTACATATTGTACAACACATAGATCCCTCATACCAGATGTAATGAAAAATATGCTGACCACAGCCATCACATTAGATCAGGGCCTTCAGACAGATAAATCTGATATATATATAATGAAGTTAGATCATTGCATATTAATGAATTATTCATGAACATTGAATATCTTGGTAGCTTTACAGGACATGCTTAAACTACTTAAAAAGAGGGTAGACAAATTCTGAAAACAGATATAAAATAGAAGATATATTTCAATAACACATATATTAATCTTCCAATAAAAGTATTAAGTTTCCGAACAAAAACCATGATGTGTGAATTCCGAATAAAAATGCAGAATGCGACTTCATTATTCAAGTGACTTTTATCTGATTTATTACTGATGTATGATAAACCAGATACACGGTAATAACATTGAAGACTTAGTACGAATGTACAGGGAATACAAAAGACAGAAACCAGGCCGAAAATTCCAAGTATATTTACTTAAATGTCAAAGTCTGATCAATAAGGATGTGTCAGCCAGACCACTATATGAGCACTGCAACGTTTTTTGTCGCCTGCAGCATTGGCTGTATGACAATTCAGAACACTACAAACTATTCCCAGGAGTTCTGTAAGACCTTTCTGTACACAGGAAACAGCATTCCTGATGGTTTTACACGTTCAAATAGATCATAATGTTGACACAATATGTAGAAATTGAAAGTAAATTTCAAATTGGCACACAAACCAAATTTAGCCATCAGCTGCATAGTAACGATCTCCAGTTCTTGCTAACCATCTATTTTTGGACAGAGACCAACAAATTTTAACCCCAATTTAAGACATAGATTAGTTTACATAAATCAACTGGTAAAAATAGAGAAAAATATTAATTGATTAGCAGTTTGATATTATTGTTTAAAGGGTTGTCGAATTAGGGTCTAAAGGCAAACTTTTAAAGACTTTTTCATTAAAAAAATTCATCTCCCCTTTCACAACTTTTTTTCCCACCATGCAAATGGTTAAGACCAATGTTTTCTACAATGCAATTGGTTAAGACCAAACATTAACCATAAATCTGGAGGTGATGTGGTTATTTCTTTGAATGAATTACCTACCCTGAATTTGGAGGATAGTAGGGCGGTGATGCTGTTTTGTGTGAGGGTGTCGGCATTTTCATCACTGTCAGCTATTTCAAACTGGGCGGGCCTGGACGGGGTTGAGTTAGACTGCTGCTGCTCCTCCTGTTCTGCATCAGAGACCGGCGTAACTGTAAACTGCAAAACAAGAATAACTTCAATTAATTTCTCGAAATCATTCATGGAAATTCAGGATTATCTAAATCTATTGCTGTAAAGAAACAAATATAACATAACATCATAATAACTGTTATCTATCTAGTGAGGGCTGTTTGTAAATGAAAATCAAATATGTCCAAATGCAGTACAAAAGTGCTCTGTTTATTAAGCTTTATTAAGTATTTATAGGTAATTTAAAACATAGTTGTTGGCAGACATATGCCAGATTTCTAAAGATATGACACAATTTCAGAATGGGATGCTCTTACGTAATAGGAGAGAACATTGGCACACCAGTGCAGACAAACATGGGCAATGCCACACATATGTCCTTAAAATGGGTGAGACATCAAAACACAACAGTAGGCTAAGCTTTACTGACAATGGGGATTGTATTGTACTGTTCATAATATTTATACATATAGTAAAAAAGACTTAAGTTCTGGTCATTAGAAAAGGTCAGTTTTGATTGGTCAATTGAAGTCCTCAAAAACATATTCCAAATACTTCCAGACAGCTTGCTCATCTATAATTCAACATATCTCTACATAGGTTTGGGATGAACTTTACACTAAAACTGAATGGTTTACAGTCAGATAGTATATGCCATACTGACAAGGAGTGGCATATATCCCTGGAAAAATCCATGAGTAATTCAGCAGAGAAGTAAGATCAGATATATATTAGATCAAATATGATCCAATAAATCAACACTCTACAATAAATCACTACAGACAAATTTCAATATCAATGGAGTGATTGAGTTATGTATTGGTGACATAATATCAAATTGTTACTAACAAAACTAGACAAACTGAAATGAAGGATTTAAAACGATAAAGAAGTCCAGGATTTAAAACCACAAAGAACAAATCTACAGAAAGACACCAGGCCCAATGAAGTGCAGAAAGACACCAGGCCCAATGAAGTGCAGAAAGACACAAGGCCCAATGAAGTGCAGAAAGACACCAGGCCCAATGAAGTGCAGAAAGACACAAGGCCCAATGAAGTGCAGAAAGACACAAGGCCCAATGAAGTGCAGAAAGACACAAGCCCAAATTAAGTGCAGGATTTAAAACCATGAAGAACAAGTCTACAGAAAGACAAGATAAATGAAGGCGATTCTACAGAAAGACACTAGTGCAATGAAGTGTGTTATTTAAAACCACTCAGAACAAATCTACAGGAAGACACCAGGCCCATGATGTGGAGGATCTAAAACCAACAAGAAAGTCACCAGGCACATATAAGGAGTGGAGAATTTAAAACAATCATCACGAAGTGTGATGAAAGCCACAAGTCCCAAGTTTAGAGCAGGCATGTTGGTAATATATCAAATCTTTAATCACCTAGCTGACAGGCCTCCAGTAAAATTGTATAGTCAGTCATTGAAACATGGCATAACTTTGTTTACTTTAATCTTCAACAGACAGATGCATCCCTAGTTGTTTTATAATTAGCAATAAGTAGATGTAAATTGTTTTCCTGTATAGCTGATTTAGACATCCTTCATTCAGGAAACATGACCACCACCATTATCAACATCATTATCTGTCTCTATCCTACAATCCCAAGTGACCATCATTCCAATAAACTGATATATATTCTATCCTGACCACACCGTAGCTGTCTTATTAACACACAAAATACACCAGCAGCCGTTCCCCACTCACAACAACATTAGAAAGCTTATTTACATTTTAACCATCCTTTTAAGCTAGCATTGGCAGACTACCACAGACAGTTCTTTTTGACATGTAGTGAGAAGTTCAATTGATGCATACTCAGAAGAAAAGTCTAGACAATCATTAACATATTTTTTATAGAGTTACTAAAGTATACAATGTTCCACATGAATTTGCAGTATTTGTCTTATTTACTACCTAAAGATTTTGAAATTCTAATGATAGGTATTGAATTAGAAAGGCTCCAACAGCAGAAAAAACTTGGCTAGAATGGAACCTTTCTATGTTCTAGCTCTTTATTTCCTTCGGGTGTAAAAATACTGTTTTTCATCAGCTATCAGTCTATTCCAAGTAGTAAGCCCATCTATTGTTTCAGTCGAGTTACAAATGTTATTGTCCTCCAAAATAACCCTGACTTTAAGTCAGAATTTATATGTTGGCCCCCACAGCTTACTGCTTCTAGTGCACATGTACTTATGCCTTGATTTGCATATATATTCCACTATCAAGCTGTGTAATACAGATATAATGAGCAATTATTTCATAGGGACTCTCAATATATAATTAATCCCTAATAGAGTACCATCACTGCAACAATAAAAAATGAAATTTCTTCAAACATGCTTATATATTTAGGGTTATTTAGAGCTGATGACATATTGGTAGTAAATATTCAGATATATACTTAAAGCAGTATAAAAAGGTGGATGTCACCAGGCACTTAGTTTAGCGGAGATAAAACTGGACAATATATTCCAGTATATGTGTTAATGTCAACACACCATCATAGACCAAAACAACTCACTAACAATCACCATCATTTATCAAACTGCCTGAACATCTTTATTAAATAATGAAAAGTTGATCACCACTCTGCATAAATCCTTCACAGACAGAACAACACAACAAACAATGCATTATCAACAATTCATTTGAAGTCTGTCTAAAATTGCTGAAACCCAGACAAGCAATCACAAAACTGCTCACCAGCAGCTCATTTTTCATATCCCTGGGGACCAGAAAAAGATCTAGTTGTTTCAATATGAGTAACAAAATTAGACTGCAGTGCTCAGAATGCAATTACTTTACACTGGTAGTTATGTATTGTATCTTGTTCTGTTTTAAGATTCAATCTAAGGAAAATAGAGAAAGTAGAATCATGACGTATAACTCAAGTAAGTAAAGGAATTAATTATAGGCTTTTTACTTCAATTTTAACATAAACTATTTGTAACTGTCGGAAAATAATTGATGATAGTGAAAGAAATACCATATATAACAACCTTGAGTTTGTGTGACCTGTTTCAACCACAATAAAACAAGCAATGACAAAGCAAAGTTGACATTACCTGTTCTATACCCATGTGTTTTTTTATGTAGTCCCTTGGAGTGTAATTATATATGACCTTTATTAAAATGCCACTGATTTAATTATATACAAAACTAACAATTTCACATATATTTGGAGATATCATAACTCATTATAATTATGATTTAAAAATGAAGAGATCTGTTCAAACCAATTGTGAACTACTTATTGTGCATGCTGATTTCAATGAGTGTGTGAAGTACCCTTTCGGTCAAAATTCATCCTATGAGCCAATCAAAACATGCTGAAGTAGTATACCACATGTGTATGATATCTATACAACAGTAGGATGGGAGAAACACAAAATTCAGTGGTGAGTATAATTGAGTACAATGTATATAAAAACACCATAATTTACCAACATGTTAACAGATTCATAATTCCAACTCAACTCATTAAACTAGAGACTCCTGAAAAGGTACATGGAGAATAAGACCAGGTGTTCAGGAAAAGTGTGTGTCTTCTGCTTTATCAACGACACCTGTCATGTAAATCTTGGTAAATCCAATGTCTCATTCCAAAACCCAAACAAGATTTATGACAATGGAACCAACAGAATGAATCTTTTCTGAAACTCAAATTTCATGAAACTAAGGTGAAATATAAATAAAATGAGATTTACACTCCTGGAAAAGGGACAAGGAGAATAAGAAAATGTATTCCGGAAGGCTAAGCACCTGGTAATTCATATGAATAATATTATGTTCCCAAATAACAGCACATTAATCAACAAGAAATCCACCAGCCAAACTAACAAACATCTAACATATCCATAATAAGCATCATATTGCACAAAGAAATAGAATATTTCTAAATGAGATCACTATTATTGTAAAAAATCCTTCCCATAATTTTCATCAACCTGCATTGATTGAAACCCTTTGTTAAATAATTTGTCAGATAGTAGTCAACATCTTGCAAGAAAATTGTAATATATTGGGAACAAGTCCTGGAATATTTATTCAACTGCAACATATAGTCACAACAGATTTGTAATGCAGGAATGTTGGTAATAAGAAATGGAAAATCCACCATTGGGAAATTGAAAGCCTCATGCTGATCATTCAGTTTGGTGATGTTGTAGGAAAAGATCAAGAATAACGGCTGATGTGAAAGATTCTGCTGTGTCCTTGATTTCCAAATCTGGTTGGTCTATATGATGGACATGGTCAATAAATTTCTGGTTATTTAAAAAACAAAACATCATCAATATATCTGAAAGTGAAATTGAAAGTCTTTGCAAGGTCTTTGTGACCTGTTCTGAAAAGCTCTTTGATAAATTCAGCCTTGTATGAAAACAGTCAGCCAACAGACGGCCGGCACGCTAAGTTTAAGTTTCCATAGGTATGCCAATAATCTGTTGGAAGATCTTAATTACCACCAAACTAAGATGTAAGTATTTTCTAAACCAGCTTCATGATTAAACAGATTAGCTACAAAACTCAAATCGTATATTGACAACATTACAGAAATTTTCTACATAAGAAATCTGATCCTATTAATCATATTAAGCTGATAGCATATGAAGTTATCATTTTGATATCTATAATGATAGCTCTTTAATCATTTGATACCTGATTGGCCATGTCTGATCATTACCATGGCAATAATATTAGTATTTAAATATTTCATTAACCAAATTTCCCAGTCAAGTCAAAAATGCTGTATATGACGTTTCAAAACCTGCCTTGGTCTATTTTAGTAAAACTACTGTACAGCTGAGACATGAAGGCGTAAGTCCAGCTACTGCCACAACATCGACATGAAAAACTAAATGATATTTAAACAAGCTACCTTGTTAAAATCAAAATTTGGATGGACAGGTGGATTCCTCTACTATTAACTTTTTGTTTACAACAAAATATATTTGATATATGTTTAATATCATCTCATAAACAATTTCAAAATTCCATATCATACTCACT